AAGGTTTTGGCGTTAAATGTTTGCCCCTGATTAATTGCTGCATCAGTAGCATTAGCATTTTATAACATGGCCTGTGTGGATTTTAATGTAAGAAAGAGATGATAACCATATTGCATTGTTTCTAATAATCGATTTATTTTTAGAAAAAACATTGAGCATGTCATTTTACAATAAAAAAAAAAAACAATAAAACATCCTGTATATGATAAACATATAAATATATACCTTGAATAGTACACTTTACAATGGCTGCGTTGTCATACTACACAATGGACTGGATGTGAGCCATTCGGCAGCAGAGTGAGCACTGCAGTAATGGTGAGGTTTTTTATCAAGAGCGTATGGTGGTATTGTACTTAACTATGGTACGGTTTACAGATGTAAGACTGTATGTCCATGTGTGCAATTATTCACATTCATACAGTATGAATTGTGGCGCAGTGGGGTGTTATGCCGATACAAATTGCTGTACTCGGTAGAGAGACAATTTTAAGGTATTATTTCAGATAAAGCAATAGAAATATTGGCAGGTAAAAAACTCCACTGCACTATTCTGCAGAAATTGCCAACATAAGGGCCAACAGAACTGCTTTAAATAATACCTTCAGGTCTTTTTTAGTGGTGGAGGATACGCCGCAGTGTGTATCAGGGGGGTGGCTGGGTTAGAACAGGGCGCCCATTGAAATGAGGTTAATTGGCCACCACTGGTCCCCCCACTACATTTTGACCATGATAGGTAATTGGCCTGTTGATTTTAATGAAGAAAGTGCATGTTACTCAGAAGCCTTTAAATGTAGAGGAGACGCTTTTAAATTGTAGTCCTACTGTATGTGCAGAGCAGCTGACCCCGGGCCACACACACCAACCGCTCTCTACTATAATAATTAATAATTCCTTACATTTATTATAGCGCTTTATCAATGACTCAAAGCGCTTTACATATACACACATTACACATATATGATACATGCAATGGTCAGATACTGTGGACAATACCCACAGGAGCAAGTTCAGGTGAAGTGTCTTGCCCAAGGACACACCGGCTTTACAGACGCAGCAGCGGCGGGTTTCACCCCTTGATCTGATGATCATTGCACAGCGCACTACGCCACACCGTCCATCTTCACGCCTCGAGGTCATCGAGGCGCTTTTACAGGTACACATTAGTATTATACATGTACTGTGGACAATACCCACAGGAGCAAATCCGGGTGAAGTGTCTTGCCTAAGGACACAACGGCCTGACGCAGTGGCGGCAGGAGCGGGTTTCGAACTGGAGTTCCCCAGCACTCCCCCTTGATCTGATGATCGGATGCACAGACCACTGCGCCACCCGTCCCTACTATATACTTTATTAGATTGATATTATTTATTTACTTCAGGAGTCAGTATTATACAAGTACCATTGATTCAGGGTGAGCAATGCTGTGTATAAATATGGAGATTCTTATTTGTGATTTTTCACAAGCCTCACATTATACATAATAGTCAATGACTCTCTGACAGACATTAGTTTAAGCCGGAAAAACATTGAAAGCTTCGAGAAAGTTCACTTTTTTTCTTCCTATTCTGCTACAAAAGACATGTCATAACAGGGTTACTGCGAGATTGATTTTCTATAAGAGTCTGAATGTTAGTATATGGTTAAAAAGCAACATCACATTCCCATGCCATGCGACTATTTAAACTCAAGATGTGTGCAGAATCAGGTTCACGGTTTGTGCCAGACTACACAGCAGCTTCACAAAAGCCCCTTTGGAAAACAGGCCTTTGTATGTTTCATCTGCCCTGTGTGTGCTAGCCTAATAGTCCCTGAGATATTCTGAGTGCTACAGAAATTGATGTAAGAAAAGAAAGAAAAATAAACATGAGTGGGTGATGCCTACCGGAAACATGGGGGATTTCAAAGATACAAAAACAAAACGGATACAGAGGAATAAATGGCACAAACAAATCACTGCAAGTAGATTCAATCAGTTGTTGAGGCTGCTGGTCATCTACGCTTTCCCTTGTTTGGTAATTAGATCTTATTTATTTCTGAAGTTGTAGGCTCTGCATTATTTAAAATGTACATTTGCTGCCTCCATGCCAGTCTTGTGGCTATGTTAACAGAAATGTTAGCGTTGGATATAATATATTTTGTGAGTTTTTAGGGAGGTGTGTGGCGCAGTGGTTTGTGCGTTTGTGTTCGGATCAGGTGGTCAGAGGTTCAAACCCCACTGCAGTCAGCATGTTGTTGTGTCCCTGAGACACTTCACCCCAAATTGCTCCTGTGGGGATTGTCCACAGTGTTGAGTATGTAAGTCGCTTTGGATAAAAGCGTCTAACAAGTGACATGTAATAATAATAATTTGACTAAAGTAGGGCCTGTTCCATGTGATGTCAGCTCGTTGAAATAAACTTGACCTTATGCTTTCCAGCGAGGCAACATCAGTGTCTATAGATATGGTAGGCCATACTGTATCTCTGTTTTATGTTTATGTATTCCTCACATATTATAACTATTATTCATCATCATCACCCATGTGGATATATCTGCTCCCACATAATGGTACAATTATGAGCCCAAGTTACTCTTAATGAGCGTCTCAATGGGAGTTGCTGCAAAAATAGTTCATCATGTGGCGAGGTTATGAAGCTTAAAGCACCACATGCCTCCTTGTCTTTTTACATATAATCATACTAATGTGTTGTTTGTCTGACTCAAAGCGAGCTGAGCTCAGGCACATACTGTATATACAACTGCGACAGGTTCTGAGATTCATTTCACGCACCGCACCTGACCCTGGCAAATTGCAATTCATCCTATGAAGAGGGTGTCAGTTTTTTATGACCTTCCAGGATACAGCAATTCCCATGATAAACCCGTCTATCAGAAGGGTTTTCTCCCAGCCTGGAGCCTTCTAATACTTTGAGGATACAACTTTGATTTATTTGCTGTGATGCACTCTCTGTTGCGACATCTACTTTTAGTAAAAGAAACCTGGCTGTGGCAGTCCCTCATCAGCAGGAGGCCCAATCGAGGCTGCAATTCCCTGCAGACTCAAACTCGTATTTTATATCTCTCTGTGGCAGAGATGAAATCGGGCCAAACTTGCATATAATACTTCTGCTGCTAGTTGAGAAAGGCCTATACTGTAAATGAAAGAGAGCATGGTGTAATGTACCATAACAAATATGTATTGCTTTTAGACAAATTAGCTCTTTTTATGGTTCAATGCAAACCCCAGAGCTTTTTCTTGATATAGTATTTAGAGGTAATTTGTATTTTTTGTATACATATGGATTGAATCAGAGTGGATCAACCTCTTATATAAACCGCAACAGTATCTGTATTTCCTTTTCTCTTTGATGAGGATGACTTTGTGAATGTCAAGAGCAGAAATCTCAACATTCAAAGTATACACACTGCATTCTCAATTAAACATGTTGTGAGTTTGATCAGATGTGTGATGTGTGGCTTGGAATATGGTTGGCTTTATTCACAACTAAGTAAATTGTAAGTCGACTTACACTGACTTACAATTTGTTGTATGGAGGCTGTGGCTCAGTGGGTAGTGTGCTGGACTTTGAATCAGAGGATAGCAAGTTCGAGTCCCACTGCAGTCAGCATGTCGTTGTGTCCCTGGGCAAGACACTTCACCCCAAATTGCTCCTGTCCACAGTACCGAATGTATGTAAGTCACTTTGGATAAAAGCGTCTAACAAATGACATGTAATAATGTAATGTTGACGTTTCACCAAAAAGATTCATGCAAAAGCAACACTTTAGATATTTTGTATCCCATAGATGTGCTCTTTGTATAAACATTCACAGGTTTGAATTCCCTACATTTAGGATTTCAACAAAAAATTAAACTGAAAAAAAAAAATAATACACAAAAATATACATTTTAATAAATAAATAAAATTAAAGAACTAGGAAAAGCACTCATACCTTTCTTGGAAATAAATCATTCAGAATGAAAAAGCTTTAAACTTGACCTAACGATGAGCATATAGTATCGAGGCATCCTTGAGAATGAGTGTTGTTCCACTCTTTCGTGCAAATTGGTTGTTACAGATTACAGCTGCTGATTTTGTTTTTGATCACTTAATTGGATCACACAACGGTATAGCTTTTTTATGTTTTTTTAATGGGTTTTGGACAGCAGTGGATTTATTTGGCACGGAGGCATGAGCTGTAACAGTCTCTGGCTACAGAGACAGCACTTGTCTGTAGAGCTCTGCTCTCTGCAGGGAAATTGTTGTTAATAGTGAAAAGATAAAATAAATGCCACCATCATCCGTCGAATATAAATGATGTCTCCTGGAATAGGTTGTGTTAAACCACACTGTTGGTCACCGGCTGTAGTTTTTAGCCTTTATAAATGGTAACAATGAGCCAATGATGGGGAGGTTCCCATTTTGTTTGTGTCCTGAGGTCTGTGAGGCGCACCATCTTTTGTTATAAAGTATTGAATGTGGTGTTGGTTTGTTGTTCGGTTGGTTTGTTTCTAACACAGACCTCTTCCTTTCTATCACCCCCAGCCTCTGGCCTGCATGTGTTGTTTAGCTGTAATGTCTTAGCTTGATCCCAGGAAGCGCAGAGGGCTTAAGGGGCTCAACATCACTGAAGTTAGTGAGGCCATGGACTGAACCAAAACATATGTGGGGGTGCTTCGAATCAGAAGGTGTTCCACCAGCTTTTGGAAATCCCTCTGTTTCCCTTTTTTTGCGTGGATGCTAAGACATGAGGTGGGGCGCCAGGATTGAGATGTTTCTCGGCTTAGGCATCGTGTTTCTGGACTCCATAGGCCATCTTAATGCAATCTAAATTAGAACCGCTGCTAATAAACCCCTACCATATTTCCCTCTTCCCCATTTTAACTATTTGTCACCTTTTCTAGTTCACTTCCATGTCTTTTATAATGACTGTAGAATATTTATCCTTTTTTTTGTAGAATCATCTGTTGGTATCCCTCCAGCTCTTCATAACATATTCTTCTTTTATGTCTTAGGATGTTGGGAGGCTGAGCAGAATGGACGCTGTATCTAAGCTGTGTGCCTAGCTAACCCATGGAGAACTGACAGGAACAGCGCTGGATGGAGGCCAAGACACTGGATGGCGACGACGAGGAAGCACATTGTTTTGTGGATCACTTGTGTTGTTGGTTCTCTTTCTCTGCCGATCCAAAGTAGATGCAAAGTGTTCTCAGATGTGCCTCATTTGTTCACTCTGTCACGTGTCCCCCATGGAGAGATGGCAACAAAAATCAAGATAGACAGTCAAGGCTAAAGAAACACATTCACTGTATGTGGGATTTGCAGTCTTGTATCTGCAAAGTTTTTTTGGTCGTTAACTAAGAAGTGTAAACACTAGATAACATTATCTTCTCACAGCTCTGTTGGATTTTGTATGAATTATAGACCACAGGGGAGCCAGTAGGTGTAGATAGTAACCACAATGGGCAGGTGTAGAGACGAGGCTTCCTGGTTACTGTTGTTAGCCGGGTTGGTGCTAACAGCTAAAGCTTTGGAGTACGAGGGTGTTCCTGGGCAGTGGACCCGCTATGGCCAGTGGGATGCCAAGGCGACAGGTGAGCTGAGCTTTATCCTCAAAACCAACATCAGCAAAGCCCTGGTTCTCTATCTGGATGATGGCGGGAACTGCGACTTCCTGGAGCTTCTCATCGCAGACGGGAGGGTCCACATGCGCTTCACCATCCATTGTGCCGAGCCGGCCTCCCTGCACACCGAGACGAGAATCAACGACCTGCGCTGGCACAGAGTCCTCCTCTCCCGTAACCACAGAGAGACCCGGCTGGTGGTGGACAACGAGGAGAAAGTGGCTGAGGTGAAGTCCAAGAGAAAAGAGATGGTGGTGGTCAGCGACCTGTACGTGGGGGGGATCTCCCCCGATGTACGTCTGTCCGCGCTGACGTCCAGCACGGTTAAGTACGAGCCGCCATTCCACGGCCTTATAGCCAATCTGAAACTAGGGGAGGCGCTACCTTTACTTCTGGATGGCCAAGCTGTCCATAGTGATTTGGAGTACATATGTGCCATACACTCTCCATGCAACAAAGGTGTGTGCTCCGTCAGCCAAGGAGAGGTCCTCTGTGACTGTATCAACACCAGCTACAAGGGAAGGTACTGCCATGAAGGTAAGAAGAATATCCTTATTTTTGTATTAGAATACATTTTAAGCATGAGTTGTGTTGTGTTGTTTGATCTGGGGACATGTAATGTGTGGTTGTTTATGAATATTAACCACCTTATTACATTATCTTGTGTTCTGTGTTTATTCAATTCAAGGCTTTTATTGTCATTTGTACATAGCTACAGTGTAGTTATGACAATGAAAAGCTTAGGTCACAGGCTCCTCCAACAAAGCAACACAATATAACAGATAATAGTGCAAGTAAATACAATAAAATATAATATAATAGAAATAGTGCAGAATAGTCTACAAGTAATTGGAATATTGATATATATATAAGTTGCAAACAGATGAATGTTATGGATGTTCTTTTAAAAGCAAGTTGTCGGTATACAGAAAATTGTGAATTGCTTCCCTTCATGATTTGACCATCAAAAGGCTTCTTTTGAACATGTACTTTTGCAACTGAAAACCTTTGGCCTTATGATAAGCATAGCTTTCAAATGGTTAAATCCCTTATTAACATCACCTTCTAAGTATACTGTATGGTCTGAACACTCATTAGGCTCTGGAAAATAATCAATAAATCCCACTTTAAAGCAATCCAGGTCAAAGTGTACCGCAACAGTACTTAAAGGCTGCTTGGATGTGCGAGTCCGGCTCTCAGCAATTATCTTCAAAAGTCAAAGACGATAAAAGCTTCCTAATGTGTGAAATGTTTGAATGTTTTCAATAGAGATGCATTTAACAGGCCACAAAATGGGTGCAGTTTTTTTTTATTCTTAAAGGTCTACAAAAGGGTGAGGACAGTAAATTAGCATTTACAAATAATCTTTGGAACTTGCATATACATGAGTAAAATGGAAATTAGTGATTTGTCAAAGATGTTTTCCTCTTGGCCAAAACCTCTTATAATAATACACGTTTATCTCGGTAATTCTACAGTGTTTTTCCACAAGGTCAGGGGTCACAGGAGGTGCAAAAGGCAAAGGAGGAGGATCCTTGCATGATTTATAAAAATAGACAAGCAAACTGCATACCTTTTTTGTTGCATGTATTAGAGCACCGTATTACCTAACTCTACAACTAACTACATCATTATATTAACCACAAATACAGTATTTAATCACAACCTACAATTAAGTATGTAGGTTAAGTACAATAATTAGCTTTCCGACTGTTGAAAGACATCAATCTGTGACTATCTGTGATTATATATCAGATAAAATACCACTTATACTTTCTAGTGGTCGAACAAAGGACCAAACTGTCAAGGCTCTGGCTGATTCTCATGTCTGTCTTCATGCATGTCTTGACATGGATGGAAGCAGCAAGGTTTAGCAAAACATTAAACATGTCTGTTGTTTTGATTCTCCTGCAGCTGTCCAGAAAGAAGTAGAAGGTAAGACAATGTATTTCATAACGAGCATAATGATGAGCATAATTTGTTTTTCATGATGCTCTTATTTGCAAAGGCTATTCACCCGCAGCCTCAGTGTGTGAGAGTGTGTTGGCTTATTATCAGGTTGTTATTGTCGGTTTGGACTGCAGTTCTGACATTCAACAAATTAAGCTGAAAGGAGATATACTATTGCTGGTCACAAGGTCACAATGGGAAAAGCACTTAATGTGCTGAATGCTCATTGTATATATAAACATTTGCTCAAGGTGACTGGAGAGGTCTCTACAGTACGTGGGTGTTCAATAGGGGGAGCATTCATATACTGCATCACAAAAAAAATGACTGTACAGACATGCTTTGTTTTATTATTTATAGCCTCTGTATTTTTCCTTTCTCTGAAGAGCATATCTTCCTCACTGCTGTTTAATGTTAGGGTTTTCTAAATCATCATGCCATTATGATTTAAGTTCAATATGTGGATTGAACTTAAACATGATGGCAAGCTGTGACTGGTAACTGAGACGAATTATAATATGAATTGCACAATGATGAGGAATTTTCATTGGTTTTTAAGAGGAACACATGTCTTTTCCCGGGAAAATACACACTTCCCTCGTTATTCGCAGATTTTTACCGGACATGATTAAACTTGGGTTGCTAATGAGGTGCACATACTGAACCTGAGATGAAGATTGAAGGCGAGGAGGGACATTTGTTTAGTCGGCATCAGAAGGAAGCATCCATCTCCCCAGTAAGGACCGCTGGTTGTGGTGAAAGGGCAGCCAACAGGCTCAGGAGACCAGCCAGTGTGCACTGAACCACTGCACATTATAAATCACTGTGACTGACTCAAAATGCACCAACCCATGCACACCTGCTCTCCAAAATCCTGCATTTGGCGTGCGACAGCAAAATCGAACAAAATTGCAAAAATGTTATTGTCTTCATGCGTTGTGGCTTCGCAAAGTGCAGTAAAGTAAAAAGTCACTCGGGTAGAATAGCTTTTATTTCAACAAACAAGACGATAAAACAGATGATATATTATTATTTTTTTAGAGGATACATGTTTTGGTATAGATTCTGTTTTTAAAGCAGCACGTAACTAAGACTTGGTGGCTGGGGTATATGGCTGTGCGCTTCAGTAACAGTTAATAGGTTTCATGGCGGCACTATTTCCAAAAACAAGCATTAATCATTCTTAATAAGACCAAAGATGGCGCGGGGCTGCTCACAGGAAAAAGGCAGGCGTTATTAAATGACATTCTGCAAAGAGAGCACATCACAATGTCTATTGGATTAAAGCTTGTCATGGAGACAATCCCCAATGCACAATGCATGAACACAACAATGACAACAGCAAAATCACCAGATGCCTTATTTTCTAGCCTTCATACAACTCCATGCACTATCCCGCAGTCTTTGATGTCCTTGCCGCAATGGAAATAAACAAATCCATGCATTAGCTCCTCTCCCCAGGGGTGGCAAACATGGTAACCCATATGCTATATTTGGTGTTGGCGGTGGGTTTTAAGTGGTCCGGGAATTATCTTTATTTATCTGTGGAACTGCTTTGAGGCAGATAAACCTTGGGAACAGCAGGTGAGTCTTCGGAGTTGTTCATCTACAGTATGCAGCACATGGGCTCCCGCTGATCTGTGCGGACAAAGGCCATGGCAGGGCATGCTCTATTGTCGAAAGAGTGCAGCATCCTCTGATGTTCTGTGTGCAAAAAAAAAAACAGGTCTGTGAAAGAGAGATAAGGACAGCCACCTCAAATACAGAGGAAAGAAAAATATTTCCAATACGTAAGAAAAACCTTCCACACGTGTCAAGTGCTAACACATTGCCATTGTTTAGTTTTGCCTTCAAATTTTAATGTGTAAGCACACAGTGATGACTCACTACTACAGGCATGACAAAGAAGGTATAGAAATCTCGTTAAACGGGACACAGTTGTTCCTGGTGGGCTCGCATCTTTCAGCCGCAGTGACCTTGGTCTAATCCCTCATTACAGCAGGCTGTGTTATACCTTACTTTTCACAGAAAAACACATTTGGCAAATCCTAATCCTCGAGCAATGGCTCTTTCTTCTCAGATGCTCATTAATTAACGTCGTAATAATGACTGAGAGGTCCTTCAACATCTGCATATGTTTGTTATTTTTTCTCTGCTATATTTGTTTAATACAAGTTAATTAAATTACAGGAAATGTATTTCCAAACGTTCATAATGTTACAAAAACAAGATGCATTGAGCTGTTTAGGGGATATAAACTAGAGAAGAGAAATAAGAGGGCAGAAGAAGGCTAGGAGGTTAAAATGTCAGCAACATATCAGGCGGAAACATATATCCAATAAATAATGTATAATGCGAGGTTTCCTTTATCATAAATTAAACATCTAACTTGAATCGGGATCAATCCAGACCACGGTAAATAATAATAACATAATATATTAATATAAGGAGTAAAAACCTTCTCAGCTGAATGCTAAATAAGTCAAAAGAAACGTATAACATTTAAAAGAAATGTACCTTCCATCGCCGGGTTATACATTTCCGTCTGCCCTTAAACTTGCTTATACTCTTAGGGTTGTCTCTTATCTATAAATAACAAAATGCTAGATTACTGGTAGGGATGGCGGTTTATTTTCACACCGGCTTTCCCTTCCATCGGGGCTCTACAGGTCTAGCCGGTTATCTCTGCATTGCCGCACAGAGATTTAGATGGAGGGCTCAGTCAAGTAGGATGAGCATATTCAATGGTTGGCTGCCCATATCGAAGGGCATCGAGAGCACCACTCCCCATCCATTTTTCTTCAACTCACAGCTCGATGGTTGAGTTATACTTTTCTAGCTGAGGTACTTCTTATGTGCTGCCCATCGTGGCCTGTTGGTTACCAGCACCAGACTCCTTACGTCAAAAAGCTTGGGTCAGTTTTCCTCGCCCTCGAACTGTTATCATAGCAGAAATCACCTGAGTCATGATTAGATAGACTGGGCATGACTAAGCAATGGCCTGTGGCTTCGTGCCTGCTGCTTATTAGTTGATGAACAGGAAGTCTACCCCTCCACATCCCTGCATTGAAAAGGACAAAGAAATGGAATAGAAAATAGACAGATTCCTCCTGCTGTGTCAGAATGGGGTGTTGCTGGGAGAGTGTGTCACTTTTAATGATCATCAAGCTCCCCTTTTAGCCCCTGGTTGCCATGTCATAATTCCACCGAGCAGAAAATACAGACACCATCTTAGTATGTCGTGTACGAATCACCTGAAAGGTATCGCTGCTTATGCCTTGATTGAACATACGTTGGCTCGTCATGTAGCATGCAGAGCCACAGTGGGGGGGGGGTGCCAACAGCAGCTCGTTGTCTGCTGCGTAGACAGGGCTGTGGTTAAATCCTGTCTAAGCAGAGGCTCAGTCACTGGCTTTTCAATGACACACTGTATCAAAAGCCTACGTGTTGGCAGGCAAGGACCCTCCCAGGGGTAATCATGTCCATTTCTCACCAAGAGCGGCAGCATGGACAGCCTTGCTCAGTGGAACGTGCTAGAGAGGTATAGCCCCACCTGCCCCCTCGCAAGATTTTACCTAATGACTGACTGGGACTTGAACTGTGAGTGAGTTGCTGATGCACTGAAGAGAGCTGTTTGTGTTGGCTGGCACACATGACTCAGGTACCCAGCACTCAGCAGAAGTGTTGCATTGTGTTATCCCCATCTCCTCTTTTGGCAATAGTAAAGGTATGCCTATATAATTGCTGGCTGAGGTATTGAGAGATGTGTATGTGGCTGTGCTTAGCAGACTGAGTGAGGGACTGGTGGTGGTGGACACAAAACCTCAATCAAATTTGGCTTGGATCGCCGCAGTGTGTGCAGTGCGACCAGATGGACTTTTCTACACCGTCACCTGCAAAGGCTCAGCAATATCCGGTGATTGATAGGCTGCAGTGTAATTGCAGTTTGCTGTGTCCATAGATTTACTATAGCTTTTCTTTTTGTTCCCTGTATGAGCAATGAGCATTGCAATACAGTCAAAGGAAGTACTATGTTACATTTGGTTTGTGGTACCCTGTCTGTGTTAGTTTGTAAGAGTAGTCATTTCTGCATTTTACTACTCTTTTTTTATTATGTTATCAGATAATTTAATGGGCGTTATCAGTGGTTACAACTATAAGTCTAATGTGTCAGACAACCCAAACTGCACCTGCTGCTTTGCAAAAGTGAAACGTAACGTTTTGTAAGCAGCCAAAAACACTTGTCAACGAAAAATATTGAGACTTTGGGTAAAATATCCATGTTTCTATAATAAAAGTGAGGTTTAACGTCTAACACAAAGACTCATTAGCGCCACATGGGACACCGGTCTCCTGGGTGAAAGTACATACATGTTCTCCTTTTACTACATCCCCTGACTTTGCCTTTCCTCCTCTTGTAATGACTAATATTGCGAGAGGTCTATGTCGGTCTATGTGAATAGATGATCGACCCTTCTAGTGGGCACCTGCTGACCCACATATATGATGCCACTGATAACGCCAATTTATTCTGCGATTTTAATCAGCTTCTTGTATCGACTGGTTGCTTTATGATACTTTAAAATCAGTGAGGCTTTAACGCATTTTCAATTTGCAGCGCCATTCTCCAGTGAACTGGTTAAGTGTGGCAGATCATTAGCGGCTGACCTGTTACATGATGGTTGTTACTGTATATCAGTGTTCCACCACCTCAACCTAGTGAGCTCCATTAGATGGTAAATCCTGTGTGAAACACTGATGTTGGCTGAAGATTTATTGGATAAGGAATGGTGTCACATCTGCCCTTTTATAAAACGCTGGCATATGAATGTTAAATAGGATCAAATGGATTGGCAGACCACCATATCAGCGCGTAGAGATGAGCGACTACGCCTATAGAGCCTTGTTGGAGATCATAGTGTTACCAAGTGTAATATTTAAACATCATTATAAAAGTAGGATTTATCTGATACATCTCGAACACTGTCTGCATCAAGTAAACATACAGTATGTGTTCCATTTAGAAAAAAGCATCTGTGTGAGCAACTACCTGTAAGGGTTGCACCGATCAAGATGTTTTTTTCTCTCCTTGCCTTCCCTCTCCTCCCTTTTGAGATGTTTGTCTGTTTTTAGTTTATTTCCCCTTTATATTTTAGTTTGAACTTTGACATCCGTACCTGCCCCCAGGATGTCTGTCACAAACTGCAGTCCAACATTGTGACAATGCTTTTGTTCTCCCAAACCTCTTTATGAACTTCCTGTTTTCGTATCCTTTTTCTGTTCTTTCCCTCAAGGTCTGGCGCACATGATGTTAAACCGCCAAGGTATGGGGTCTATTGGTTTTGCTTTTCCTTCCCAGCCACCTGATCACAACATTCCCCTTCCCCTGAAATCATTTCAGTTAACTGTGCTGCACTAATATTTCCTCTCCTCTTTTTTCATATACTTGCTTATTCGTTTTTTGCTTCCTGTCATGTTTTACTCACTACTCACTCAATCTGTGTCCGTCAAACCCTTGTCCTGACCACTGACTGAGCTTCTGGAACATCATCTTTGACCTCTACAGTTTTTCGCCAAGGTAATCCATCTATGCTCATAGCATCTCTTCGGTTTGGTTTCATGGTGTTTTCCTTCAAAGGAACGAAACAGGTTTAAAATAAATAAAGAAAAAAGGGTATTACATGCAAAAGGTGTCTCAGATGTGCACAAGAGCAGCTAATGACGCTTCCTGTTTAAATAAACACTCAAAAGATATATATTTTTGCCTTCTAGAAATAGTTGTATGCAGAATTGTCATCAAGTTAAAATATAGTACTCATTTCCAAATGTGCTTTAACTTATGATCATTGATCAGTGGGTTGCAAATAACATTCCCTTCAAATGATTTCTACATCGCAGTTATGGTAATGTGTTTCATATTTACAAAAGCACCGACTTAAAGTGACTGATGGAAGAAAGTGTTTGAGCACAGTAGGTGGTTTCCCCCAGTAAAATATTAAGAGCCTGCAAGAGACACTACTCTGATGTTCAATTTGGGTTCAAGAAGAAATAAAATATATCAATTGCAAACTCTTAACGGTTTTTAACTCAAGTACAGAATACATTCATTGATAATCGTTGTAGAATTAAGGTTCTAAGACGTAAGTACAAACATTGGAAGAAAGACATGTATTCATTGCAACATTGGGAACCATTTCAGCATTAGAGAAAGTTGTCATTTTGAATGAATGATACGGGTGGCACAGATCTACGTGTTTTCTGCCACGTTTTGTGAGATTCAGACAAAAGTCACCATCCTGTCTCCATGGCAATCAGTGTTGTCTCTAATCATAGAGGCTCTCACTGAGAGTATAATACACTGCTCGATTTTGCCTTTTCCTCATCAGCTAAATGATATGTAGATAACATTTCTCCTTGATTGAATTTTGACAAAATAACCCTCTAAAAACGACTAAGCTTCGTTGTTTGGTTATCGTTAAATGCTCCTTTTATTAGGGACATTTTTACAGGATCGTAGAAGGAATATACAGTTGATTCTGATTTCCTTCTTCGGACCAAATATCCATAGATACTATTATAAGTACCCTGCGGATTTAAGAGGAAATAGCTTTTATGTTTGAATAACATTGTTCCCACTCACACTATTGAACAAATGAAGATGAGAAGAGTGTGAGGCCGTACCCTGGGTGTTCTAGATGTTCTGGCGTATGGCTGATAACGCTAATATTGACGTCTTTTATAGTAGATGAAAAGGCTTAAGAGAATACTTCCGTGTGATTACATCCGTTTTTTCACCCCACTATAGATGGTGGAGCTTGAGGCTATACGTGACTGTGACATTATAGATTAATGTCTGGATTCTTTGGTTCCCCGCTTTGGGACAAAGTTGTTCATGTACAGAAGCAGTAATCAGTCTTTACAAGGCCAAAAGATAATGTTCAATTTAAGCTACTGCTTTAATTGACAAGTATGCAGAGATAAGAATGTAGTTGGATTTACTGTATGCTGGTACTGCCTCAATGATGATGGCAATGTCTGCTATAGTAGAGTAACAATGCTGTATAAAATATGTAGTAACTCATGTAGAAAGTGAGTCCCAAAGGCCAAACACAGTGAGATCTTTCGTGAAATTAGAGCCAACATGTAATTGCTCCATTTCATGCATCAATAAGGAGGAGAAGTTGGTAATTGATTGTTGAGCAAAGATTCTTAGAAATAAGCCTGTGAGGCGAAGCACATCAACGATTAGTTACAATGTAAAGTGCATCTGACTTCATGGGATATACATGAATCATTCCATTTGTATTCAGCCATTTAATCCTTTGACAGACATGTATTATTAACTTCGACAATGTCCTAGCCTTAGCCTGGGGGCACACTCAAGGGAGAAGTTTGATTTGATTTGAATTAATTTGGCCACAAATAATTAAAAATGAAAAACACGCCGCAGATGCCCAGTTTTGAGAAGGAAGTAAAAGCTTTTCGCAGACTTGGGAAAGTGGTTCAGCCCCAGATCGCTTCTTCTAGTGTGTACACACCAGTGGCGAACCGTCAGGGCCTTCAAGGTATTCAGAGAATACCCTGGAACACTCAGATAAAACAAACAAAAAATCGATTTAATTATATAAATAAAATGTATATAAAATGAATAAATGAGATATCTGTGTTGTTGATCTGTAATATTACAGTGTTACGTTGATTTGTTTGTCCTTCTCGGACCATGCAGTACGCGGCGGCGGGGGGTGTGTGTGTCTACAGAAGGTCCAGTTGTGATAGACACGGTTTGCCACTGGTACACACAGATGTACAGTAAATAGTGGGTTTACTGAGGCACAGGTGTAGCTCAATGAACACCTCGAGAGCTTATGCACGTCCCTGCCTCCAGATCAATAGTGAACTGCTGCCCCTCTATCCCCATGCTCACTGCCTGACTTATGTTTGGGTGCAAACAGCCGTCAACTTTCACCTCCGCCCCTGAGCAGGAGATGAAGTCGGCAACTGCCATCTGCGCCCCAGGCTATTAGACCACTTTGAAATTAATCATGTGCAAAGCTTCATATTAATGAGCAATCCACATGTTGACATTTTCATGTGGTGCGGCCACTGCAGCATGGTGTAATTGCGGCGGAGAGTGGAACAGGTGGGCTAATGGGAAGAAGGAGCAGATCATTTCTTCCCACCTGATGGCAAGACCTTCTTCCTCTACACTGTTTGATGTGAATCTTACTGTGACAGTAAGCAGCTAATGTATAGCTCAGGGCAGTCCCTTTAAAGATGATCCTTTATGGTCATGGGCATGGGGGCAACGCTGGCTGCTATTAGCTATTTCAATGTTAACGTTCCACCCAGGATGTTGTAGCTCCCTTCATATTTTCTTGGATTGGCCGTGAGCAGCGCCCCGAGGACTGAGCAATATTCATTTCCTGAATTTAGGGAGGGGGTTGCCAGTAAGTAGGAGATTGAATGATGTATAGTAAGATGAAACCAGTGAGCGAAGGAAGGTTAGCAGAAAGCAGCTAGATCTGGCATTGAGAAGAGAAGATACACATGGTGTTGTTAGCATATTCTGCTGAGCCTTCTTTTTCTGTCTATACAGGCATGCGTTTGCAAGGAGACATATTTTGGCCCAAATGTCTTAAAGCAGCCAAGGTATCAGGTTGATAGCTCTGCTCCCGCTCAGATGCAGTATGCCTAAAGTGACTAGGCCGCTTCTCTTAGTACTGACTGCAGCCAGGGTCTCTGATGGCATTTCCTCTGAGTTCCAGCCAAAGTCTATCTGGTGTCAGAGCAAACACAGCGAGTATTGCCTTTTTCACAAGCTGGTAAACATTGTTGCTGCAGACAATGAGCCTCCTCTAAGGTAAACAGTAAAGCAGAGATATGGCTCGCTGCCTTTTCTAACACCCCCACACTTCCACACGTCTGCTAGTGACGTGTTCATTGTAGAAAGCTGGGAATTACAGGAAGACGATTGCACAGGATGTGATGCACCACTCTAGTTATATGGACTGTAAGAGACAAACCTTTTGTAGATATTAGATTCATTGTAGCTCTGCCTGAGGTGTTATTAACTGCACATGTACAGTAAGCACTTTGCTAAAGTAGGCCGCAATACTTCTGGTGTCCCATTATAATTTGTTCTCGAGCACCAAAAGTTGACTTTCGCTGTGCTGACTGTGCACCTGTAATTAGGTTTTCCCCTACAGCATCAGTCAAATGACAAACTCCACTCTTAGGCGCAAAAACAATAGCTTAGCAAGTTGCTGTCTGCTCAGTAGATGAGTAAGTACACTGCTCAAACAATAGAGACTAATGGGACCACTGATCCTGTTGGCTTAAATTGGTCCCGGAGTTCAGAAGCCGACATTTACTGTACAAACAAACATAGGCTTAAGGGACAGCTTATCCGTCTAGTTTGAAACAGCTTGTTCAATAGCTTTATCTTTATCTCACAAACAAGCAAAAGGGAGGGTGTCTATGCTGGCTTTAAACAGCCCATTCAAGAGTTCAAAAATGCATACACAAGTTAACTTTACCCCATGTGGTTCAATGTAAAACAATGGTTAAGTGTTTTACCTGGAATTGTGTAGTTTGTAATAAATTAGGAGTGCTTGTCAGAATATATGATATACTCTGTTGGGTGTATTCACATGCAGAGGTGGAGAGGTGCTGCAACACAGGCAGTATGAGAAACATGAAGCACTTTTGGACATTAAAGCATGGAAACATGTCACAGTAGAGGCACAAAATACAAATATGCTCCTGAAAATGAGCCTAATAGGGCACCTTTAGCGATAGTGTTTGCGTCTTCGATGAGTTGGCAGTCACTGGAGTGCATAATAATATATCATTGGTGTTAGCTAATAAGCTATTTAGCTAACTGTGGGCTTCAATGACAGTTGTGTCTTGAATGTTAAATGAATAACCCTACAGTACAGTGCCATTTTTTAAATACATGAAAATAAATGAATCAAAGTACAATAATTACATTTGATTTATATTTATGTATTTATTCTCTCTTCCTCCTTCCTTTTTCAAATAATTGGCTCACATTTTTCTCTTTCCTATTTTTTCATCTCTTCCTTCTGGAGGTATGGATATAAGTGGCTCTTCACAACGCTAGTTAGCCCCATATATAATTGCAGCAAAAACAAACTAACTGCACAACACATTTAGAGTCGTGTTTTACACATTGCAGAGTTGCAGATAGTGTGTACAAGTGATGTGTGTTTCAGTATTCAGTTCACAATACACTGAGACACATCCCACAGGACGAGTCTGCGAAATCACAAAACAACATTTTAAGACGAGCTGTATGACCTTTGCCACCGTGGTGTCAAGTTCAGTCTTTAAGAGTTTGCTGCTGTCTGCACTCAAGTGGTTGCATGACTTCACAGTCTCAAGATTTAAAACTTGCTCAAAATAGTAACCTTTTCCCCAAATTCATATTGTAGTTTATAGAGTACATGTGTTTTCAATTGAGTGTGTGTATTTCTGTTTGTGTGTGTGTGTGTGTGTCTTTCTGTCTGTCTGCTTACAATATGTTTTTTTAAATTTATTTAAAAAGGTAACTTAGTTAGTTATCATTCGGCCTATATTGCAATAGTTGTCTAAAACCCAAACAAAATGCCTTCTTTTCTTTCAAGGTCCAATCATTAGTTGCATCATTTCTGAATGACTTGTATTATCAAGAATGGATTTGTGTTATCTGTAATGGTTTTTGACACCAAGGACACATTTACAAGAAACGATTAAAAATGACAAACATCTACCTTCTGCTCCGGGTAAACCTGAAAACTGCTTTTATTTGAGCAGCCAGGGAAATAGTTAAAGGTGGGGTAGGTCATTTTGGAGAAACCAGCTCGAGTGCGCTAGAATTTGAAAATACACAGCCGGAACAAATCTGCCCCTTCCTTACAGAGCCCCTCCTCCAACACACACGAACGCGCACATGACCAATGGATTTTTTGTCAAAGCACTTAAGATGTTCATTGCTATCGGGATGTTAAGAGCATTCCATGGAATATAACAAAAAGTGTATCTCGAGCCGGTTTCTCAAACTTACCTACCCCACCTTTAAAGCCATCATGTTTTTTCTGTATATTTTACAGCCTCGATGGAAATTATTCGAACCGCGGTGGTGAATTAGAGGTCTAGTCAAGACTGACACCTTTATATTGTTCATGGGTCAATCATTTTTCTTTAAATGTCACCGTTGAATAAAGGATAAGGCTGGAAATGTTCTATACTTTTTCTTATTGTCAACAAATGTTAAAGAAAACATTTCATTTTTTAAAGTGCACATTTTGAAAAAGGCTGAATAATTTCTTTAAATAACTTAAGCAAACATCTGTTGAGAAATAACTTCAGCTGAAAATGTGATGTGCTCCTGAGAATATACAGCACAAACACAGAGTATGTGGGATCAACTCACAGTCAAGTGTTGTTTCCATTTGCATCTTTATTAAAATAACCTTTTGTAACACTCTGTCTTACTATTGTATAGAGAAATGCAGCACAATGAAAATGAGGCCTTGGCTAGACAGACTGCAGGGCCAGTTTATTGTCAGTCTTGGTCTTTTCATGTCATTTGTTGACTTTAGAAGAAAAGTAGAATATCGCTTGACTTATCCTTTGGTGTGCAAACACACAGAATATTGTGATCTTCCATTGGCAGTACATTCGATCATCAGAATGTACAGTGATTTTTTGCATATGTGAATAGCTCCACAAATACCTGCATTGTCTGTTCAAATTAGTTTTGGTGAATGATAATAATGTATAGGTCTTTTATGATTGCTCATCAAAGCCTTTCCTTTCTCAACATTAAAGTAGTTAATGAACTGCAGTAGGTTAATTAAACTTAATCCTGATGACCTTAACAATTATCTAAGATGTTTTTTCCTCCCCTCTCAGGGCAGGAGGAGTCAGTGGCCACCTTCAAAGGCAATGAGTTCTTCAGCTACAACCTGTCCCTGACTCCCATCCAGAGCAGTTTGGATGAGATCACGCTGTCCTTCCGCACCCAGCAGAGGAACGGCCTGCTGCTCCACACCGGGAGGTCCGCTGACTACGTCAACCTGTCCCTGAGGAACGGGGCTCTGTGGCTGGTCATCAACCTGGGCTCTGGTGCCTTCGAGGCCCTGGTGGAGCCCGCCAAAGGAAATTTCAATGACAATGTCTGGCATGATGTTCAAGTGACGCGCAACCTCCGCCAGGTGTGTACTGTTTACATCTTACTGTCTGTGATTAGCATACACATTACATCGGGATCACAATGAGGTCCCCTATTATACTGTTTTTCATTACTTTATTATAGGTCTCAGATATATACAAAACATGTCTCTGAAGTGATTGGCCTCGAAACACCAAACAGATCATGGCAGCATCCCATAATCCCCTCTGTTTCAGCCCTGTTTCCAAAGTGCTGATTCTGTGTCTGTTACTGTAGATGAAAATAAGGAGCCACTCCCCACGCCCCTCTGAGAGAGATTTGGTTACAAAGAACTCAATGGTGCTCTAGGAGGAGATTCAGGTGATAAGGTGTGGGGGGGGGTTACCTTGGTTGGTGATTGGCTAATGGTTACACAAGCCAATAAATCGTTATGACATCACAAAGTGGCCAAAATCTGATCAGCTCATTTTCAGACAGGTTTTTATAGAAATGGATCAGGACAAAAAGAGAGAGAATCTTTTTTCACAGAGGGGACACATGTTGATGTAGAAGAGACATGAAAAAGTGGATTTTGCAAAATAGGTGACCTTTTAAAAATACCCTTCTTCAATAACATTTGCTGAAAGATTATTATGGAGCTTTTGCTCAATGACGCCAAAAATCAACTGCCTCCTGAAGCTTGAATGAATACTTATCTTTAACTTTTATCAGATTGTTATGAGGTCCAGGTATTACCAGTGTCATGGAATAGGGTTTGGTATTATAGTCCACTATCAGAGCAAACACTAACAAAACTGTGTTGGCTCCTGTTGAATTATTAATATTTCTGCTCTGCTGAATTCCCTTTTTTTCATGCTCTGATAGATATTACAAGCACATCATATTAGGTCATTGCCCTCTTCCTCATGAAATAGATTGCTTTGGTGGAAACCACTGTGTCCTTTTTATAATCAGACGCAGGTTTCTTCTGCAGTCTTCAAAAGACTGCTGTAAAGTCTTTTTACCTTTTTTGAAATGAAGACTCAACTCATGCAGCAATATCAATCACATTTATGTGTCTTGCAGCAGTGATGACAGTTCTGCAGTCTGGTCTTTTTTATACCTTTTACAGGACAATAATCGTCTATCAGATGTTCAGATCTTGACAAACTACCCTTAGATAAAAAGACCATAAAAAAAAAAAAGCACAAATTCAACTGTCCGAGCGGTCATGGGGAAAAAAGAGCAGAGCTTTTATTGAATGAATACAGTCATTGCTGTATTGTACTGCTGTACCTACTGTACCGTACTCCGGTCAAGTACAACTCAGCCCATAAGGTTTTATATTCATTACCGTCCACTGGACAAAGAACAGTGCTCAATTCCCAAACTAATTTACAGACTGCCAGGAAGTGTCTGTATAACATTAAAAGTTACCCTGCTTAACCCTAACCCATTAAAAACGGCAGTATATTTAACTCCATCATAAGGTACCTTAAAACTCTACTAATCATTAACAAGAAAAGGGTTGTTTGAATAAACCCATACATAAAACATTACCCCTAAGTAACAAGTATTTCACGGTCATCTTTTCTGGCCACTCGAGGCCAGCTGAAACAAGTTGAGAACACAAAACATTGGCTTATTATCACCACTTAAGTTGATAGCGAGAGCTTGTTGGCAAACAGCTGCTTATTTACACATTCAATTACAGAGTAACGGTGTCATTCATCAGCCAGAAACAAGAGTTGTGTTTCTGGCAAACAACTGTATGTCCAACATTGACTCTCTTGTTGCAAGTTTTTGGTCTCCTCCAATCGGTTGCTTAAACATTCTGAACTACTACAAGTTTTCCATTCGAATGTAGCTCACATTTTAGTCATATAGTTTGGAGAGAATCTATGCCTTATTGCCATGAATTATGTTACGCTGATATTAGGTTTATCGTGATAAGTAGTTAGCGCTAACTTTCTCGTCAGGTACCTGTTGACCACTTCGGAAAGAAAAGTGCTCAACAAGATGGCGTGACTAAAACAGAGGCAGTCAAACCACAAATAGCTGAAAACAGTGTAGAGAACAATGTGATATTATGGCATTGATTTGTCTTTCATGGATTAATTTGCGTTACAGTCTCATTTTCACTCCAGACAGATTTGATGTCTGCCTCTATTTATTTCTTCTCTACTTCAATGGACGTTTCGGTCACATGCTTCATGTATGTCATGATTAATTGGCGCCTGCCGTGCAGAGTGGTGTGGGTTTTTAGAGCTGCTTTGCTGAGACAAACAACATATGGTCTCGTCTAATAGTACTCCTCGAAAAAGTCCTAAATTGGCACATACTGGGCTGTGTGACCAAAAAGTGGCGGCACAGAATTTACGACAACTCAAGCAGAGCTCCTTTCAGCCAAGTTGCAATTCAATATTCCTACCTGTATACTGTAAGTGCATTTAGAAAATACAACATCCCTGGGGATTATTTCTATTACAATATTGAAACCTTAGGAGAATTGAGCCTTTGAAAGCAAAAAGGCCCAACCCAATTTTATGCCAAAAAAGTAACCTCTTAGTGAATGTATATCTGAACCACGGTTAGACCAAATGTGTTTCAATGAGCTTTGTCAGGCACAGTGCATTTATATGTTTCATTTATTATCCTCAGTAGGACTTATATTGTATCTAACTGTCATCATCACCAATGTATTCTGTACCTCTCACATTGAGGTGAATATAAAGTTGCATCCTCTTCCTCATCTATTTCCTTACCCCGGCTTCCAGAGGAGCAATCCAGTGCTTACAACGTCATTTATGCTTTCAGCTATGGATTTGATCCCTGTGTAAATTGCTTTCCCTTCAGATAAGTTACCCCACTGACATGTAGATAGGGGAACTGTAACTCCCAAGATAGGGCTTCTGGAAACATTTTATTAGATCCGGTGGAGCTTTTCAAGCTAGAATTTCTCCTATTACCCTTCCCTATATTCCCCTCCATCTGTCTTTTCTTCTACTGTTGTGGGCAAACTGACTCGTGATCTACCCACCCCTTCTGCCCCTTATTCCTCATTCATTCATTATTTATGGGCAAATACTGCACAAACACACATGCAAACAATCCTAAATACTACTCACAAATATGACTGCACCGGCTATGTAAAAACGCAAGAGGAATGATGATGAAAGGTTGTCTAGCAGCCAGGAATGCAACCTGAATATTATTCTGCCATTTGCTTCCACTTAATGCTCCTTTTTCAACAATTACCATCACCTCTGAAATGCCAGTAAATAGATATGGATAGGGTATATAGTCATCATTAGGAACTAGTCATGCTTTTTCAGACGAGTGAAAGCGAGAGCAGCATCAATCAGTTTCCAGGCATGAAAGCACTTTTCTGAAGTTTCATGCATTATCATCAACCCTCCATCAAGCCCTGCCATTGTCCTCCTTCCAAGCCAAAGATACTGAGGGCTTCAGCACTGGATAGACAAAAAATCAATACCTGCCAGCAGCAGTGAATGGTGAGGCAGGACCTTGCTTCAGAGACCCGACACCTGAACATACCCTGTCAGGTCGTTCTCTTGTTTTTATACTCTTGCTTTTAACATACCAGCGATTTCACACAAGAGACACCACACATTTAAGTTAAGTTGAGCTGAGATACAGTTTAAGGACTTCTAAAAATGAGTGCTTGAACACATTGATCATCTTTTTTATATGAGCAATTTGTCCTCAATGAGGCCGCATCAATTTACTACTCATCTACTTATGCAGTAGGTATATTACACGATGAAACGGTTCCGCATTAAAAGGTCTAAAAACGACTAGAGCTATGTTATATATTTTGTTGAGTCGCATTCTTACATGACCTCAAATGTTTCAAAGAAAACGATTAACTAGTAAAAGGTCGTTTTAATCCAAGTAATAGGCTGTTTCATTTAGTAGCATATAGTACTTGGGTATTCCCTTTGTGCGTGCTTCAGCATTGTGGTTGTCTGCCAGAAGCTGTCATAAATTGACTTTCTATCCAGTTTTAAAGAAGCCCTATCATCCCATTTGGAGTTTTCTCTTTTCTGTATGTGTGGCATTCAGGTTTTTGTGCATGTAAATGATCTGGTCATACCTTAAAACGCCTCCACTGGACTCCTTTGTTTCCTTTTGTAACATAATGACATTACTATGTAACACTTGCACTCCAATTGGCTAGCTCCAACACATTGTTCGAGGCTAAGGAGCAGGACACCTCTAAGCGGTTGACCAATCACAACAGAGCCGGCCAGCTAACCAATCAGAGCAGACTGGGCTCTGGTTTCAGACAGAGGGTGAAAAGAGGTGCTGCACACTTTTTGAACATTTAAGCAAGTAAACATGTCACAGTAGTGGCCCAACATACAAATAGAACCAGAACATTTGGGTAGGTGGTCCCCTTTAAGCCACATTTTAAGGATACTCTTTTCAGATCATGATGACAGAGGATTTAAGTCATAAGATGTATGGATATTGTGTTTGAAGAAAAACAAGCTGAACAAGTTAGGGAAAAACACATTTTTACAATTAAACTGCTTATTTTTGTGATTTTTCGAGTCTTAATCACCTGGTTTGTTTGTTGTTAATTTGTCTCCCAGTAAAAACCTCCCGAACAATAAAGGACTCCTAAGTGACACAACCTGAAAGCACAGACGAACTCCAATGATCCCTTTCTATTTCCCGACTCCACAGAACTCTGTCTTTGTTATTGTTTTGATTGAGGGACCCAAATGGCGAAGGATGACACATTGTGCTTTTAAGTCCATGTCTGTTGGATCCGGCGGTGGTTGTGGTAGTAGCCTAGTTTTTATTCATACTCCAGAAATGTAGCTCAGATCGTGTCTCTTTGATCTTTTGGTCTTTATATAGAAATCATCCCGTTAATATCTGTGATGCCAATTGCTCTATAAAAATGTGTTATTCCACTTACTTAAATTTTTCTGTTCCATTTCAAATTAAAAGAGGTATATATATAATTGTGTAGTGAAGGTGTATTTGACAACTGAGAGAGCAGTCCCCCTACATATGACTTGATCTATAATATGTTATAAACTTACAAAACATTTTCTGTATTACAAATTTCCACACAATAATTGTGATTGTCTTAAAACAATAATTCAATTAATTAACTCTTTGAACGTTCATGTCCCCCTTGAGAGATCTTTAGTCAATTTAATAGGAATAACTGTTAACTAATTCGCTTTTTTCCAGTTGTTTCCCCCGCACTGGGAGCTGTTACATTAGAGCAGGAATGTGTGTTAACTGTAGGCTTAATGTCATGGCAACAAGCACCTAAATTCTTCTCCTATAGCCTTTTTTCGGTCATTCGGTTGTCTTCGGCACATTTGGTTTGTGTGCTGATGAAACTGATATGGGATTGATCTTGATCCATCTGCTGCCATTACACACGATGCTATCTTAACATCTTTAATCTCACATTTCCTGAGTACGATGTAGCAATTATGTTTGCAGTGGAGGGTATATCTATGGTATATTGACTCCTCTGCCATCCTGCTAAGATATCAGAAGCAGAGATTAGCTGAGATGAGTGAACCATGAGAAGCTGGTCTTGTAATTGCCTTCAAGATCTGACATTAAGGCGAGCTCAACCCGAATCAAGAAATGAGGCATTAAAAAACGAGACGGTTCTTTTTGTAAGAATCTCTCCATGTCTTGTCGTTTATGTCACTCATACCCTGTTCCTGCTGTGGCTCCTCTAGGTGACAATCCTGGTGGATGGGATTCTCACCACCACAGGCTACACCCAGGAGGACTACACCATGCTGGGCTCCGATGATCTCTTCTACATCGGAGGCAGTCTGAACACGGCCGACCTGCCAGGCTCCTCGGTCAGCAACAACTTCCTGGGCTGTCTGAAAGATGTGAGTACAGCCTGACCTCGGTCCCATCAGAGGACTGGAAACACAATCCTTCCCCTACTTAGATAGCACTACCCATTCCTATAAGCAGAGCATGTTCTGCGTATAGAAAACCACCCCTCGCGTTCGTATCGATTCTCCTCCCGTAGGGTGTTTGAAGGAGAAACATTCAGCTGTGGAGAGCATATGTATTTACAGATTTCTGCGGGACTCCCTTTGAGAATGCAGCACTAATATACTTGAGAAACAGATGCATCTCCTCATGTTCATTCCTGAATAGCACAGCATGGACTATTTTCCACGTTTGTTATGCTTTTTAAACCCCAGCCCGTACCTGCCGCGTTGATTATCTCGAGCAAGCAAGGCTCATGTACTCGGCATCAGAATTAATATAGACAAAGCAGTGAATAATGGATTAATTCCCAATTTCAGCCTCTGCTTACAAATATTTAATGAAGAGAGCAATCTCATAAAAAGCAAAAGCCGAGCAGCAAAAGTGAGAGAAGTGCTTTTACTTACCAAGGGCAGATTAGGAGAAGACATGACTAAAACAGAATTGAATTATTAAATAGTGAAGAGCAAAGTAGCATAAGTGTCGAAGAGGCAGATTGGTGTGTATATATTTCCTTGGGGTCAATACCCGGCTCAAACAAATGAGTTTTCTTCTACCGGAGACATTATTGTCAAAGGATATAAGACCTTATATTCCATAAGTGTGTATAAACTATTATTAGGCTTTGCTCTTGATCCCCATTAAATCCAGCTGTATGGGATTCAGCAGGGAGTACAATGCACCAAGGACAGAGCAAACTTGTCACAAAATGCGCAAGGCAAATAGAGAACCAAAATCTGACTAAGCTCGTCCCAGCAGCAGCCAGTTGGAGGAACGTATAACAGATAGCAGCTACTTTAGAGTATGTGTGAGGATGAGACATTGGCAGATTACAAAAACGGTCAGTGCCTTGTAATGTGAAGATTGGTGATCTTTTTGAATATTGATGGAGACTGTGACAGACTTTGATGCTCTGTCAGAACTATTTTTCAGACTTTCTTACTCCAATCCAGGGCCGGCCCTAGACTTATGGGGGCCCTAAGCAAGCTTTGGCTCACCCCCGCGCTATCCCACTACACACAACACAGAACCAACTTTTGTCTTATGATGTTAGCATAAGCACACATATTGTATAAATAACCATGTAAACACCGTGGACCTAACCTCCTCTAGGGGGGTCCGGGGGCATGTTCCCCCGGGAAGATTTTTTTTTTTTAATATTGAACTTAAAAGCATCAATCTGGCAAAATTAAGAGATCTATGGATACATTTCTCAACACCCATATGAAACAGAACTGTGAACAGATTTTTCTTTATGGATATTTTACAAATCACTTAAACTTTATTCTTGTTTTGTCATATAGTATTTCATAACTGTTTTTCATTTATTCTCTCTGGCTGTCCATCTCATAATGTTCACATAGAAACTAGCTGTCAATAGAAATATCATTCAGAAGAATTATAATTTCTTGCAAAAATCTGTCACAAAAAGAGGTTGCACATTTAAATTCAGGTGTTGTTATGGCAACGTCAGTGGCCAAACAGCCACATTTACTGCTGCAAATACATTCAAACATGCTGTTGACACGCAGTGGCAACTACAGTATGCCACCATTTCAGCTGACTTTTTCTCAGAAATACTGTCACATAATATCCATATATTTCAGTGCTAGGTTGATGCTTAACTAAGCTAACTATGAAACACTTTAACTGACAGGACTCTGGATCAACTGTGTACTGTGAGGTAGCTTCTAGCTTCATGTCGAACAGTAAGTCAACATTTCCCAGAGAGCTTTCTTTGAAATCACCAGGTAATGCTAAAAAACATTACATTTACACAGGATAGGTACCTGTCAGCTAATAAGACAGATGTGTATTTCCATTCAACTCTCTGGTTGGTCTGGTGCCTTGCCTCTGTTGCATTCACTGAACACGGGAAATTACAATCCTGCCGTCCTCTCTAGTGTCATGACGAGGTTCAGGTAAAGCACGGTTAATGTATTATATTATTGACTCAATAATATAATACATGACTTTGAGAGTAGGCAATCTAGGCATATTAACACAATTAATTAAACATACTTATCACGGCGACGGTGTACTGAGATTTTTGTTTTTTTTGTTTTTTCATTTAGTTTTTTTCATTTAGTTTTGTTGCTAGGGTGCCCCTTAGTGGCTGCGGGGCCCTAAGCGGCCGCTTATGTCGCTTAATGGGTCGGGCCGGCTCTGCTCCAATCCAATCGAGTTCTACCACTTAGCATCAACTTTGTGCAGTCACAGAATGTAATTATGTCGGCAAACTAAAATCGAAGTAATTTATGTGCCGAAGTTTAGTGATGACACATACACAGAGATTTTAGGGACACATTTACATAATCTTTTCAGCTTCGCAGGGCTTATGGTATGGCAATGTCCTCCGTCTGTTGTCTGCCAGATTTTGTCCTCATTGAAATATTTTTGCAACTTTCCGATGGATGCCGTTAGAGTAGTTGTTTCCTAAAGAATGAATGGTACATTCTTTGATCCCCTGAAGTTTGCACTAGCGCCAACATTACTTACGTTACTATTTGTGTTTTTGAGTTGTAATTTCTCGACAACTATTGAATGGATTGACGTCATGCTTCAGTTAATAAATGTCCCTACAGGAGGAGTTGTTTTGATTTTAGTTATCCCATGACTTTTCATAAAGCACCGCCATCAGGTCTACATTTCTCAAAAAATAGTACTGCTAATTACAACATGCTAACTAGCTATAATGCTAAACTAAGAAAGCAAATCTGGCAAATATTACCTTCTGCCAAACGCTGAAATGATTCCTTAAAAAATTCCAGTAAGTTGATAACTGGGGCACGAAACTACAATTGATTCAGATGTTGGACGGTGATGTTTTCATAGCAATTTAAAATATATATTAGAGAGGAAATTATGCCCTGTTTAACTTCCTGAAACCAGCACTAAGCAGCTTTTACACATAATTATAACTACTAACGCCAAAGCAAGGACTGAAATATAAATACATGTATATCCGAATCATTTGAATAATGTATTTTTTTGCATACAACAGAAAATAGAAAAGTAAAAGGATAACAATTCGATTTCTTTGTTCGTTAGAGAATTATTTCCCAGGCATTTTAGCGGTTTAAAAGATTACCCTTGAAACCAAAAACATAACATTTAGATACAATAATTCAGTTTGTTTGCAATCTCAGCAATGAGAATGTGTGATTTTCTTTGTGTGTCTTATTTTCTTTTTTGTACATTAATATTTGTGTAGGAGCCATGAAACGTGTATAGTAATGCGTTTTGTTTTAATATAATATATTTGTTTGATCACTATTGATTGGTTGGCTTGGGTCACATGGATATGGGCGGCACTCATTATAATCCTGTTCACCTTAGTGAGGTGTGTGTGTGGAAGAGAGGGTGACACAGGGCCGTTGTACTTTTTATTGACCGCAAGATTTATGATTGCTTTGATTATTATAACAATGTATATGTCTGATCACCGAGTATTTTTTCATTAAACTACAATACTATTCAACAGAGCTTTTGATCTCAGCAAGTAGTTTTTTAGCGTGTCATATAACATCAAACAAGCCCGGCCTCAGCTGTCGCTATAATTTGTTATTACTCAAAGCACCGCTGGACCAAAGCATGTTCTTTATATATGAGGCTTATTTTAGGCTTTACTTATTTACTTCTTATGTCATGGTCCACAGTTGTATTTAATGTTGTTTTAATAAAGCACATGACATCAACATTTCAAGCACTGCACTGAACGCATTTTAAATGGAGCTTCTATATAACTGCAGTGTGAATTCACTGTAATTAAAATGAGATGTTATTTATGGACAGGTTATTGTCCCAGCACCCTGCCAATGCTGCAGCCCCCGCTCTGTGGGTGGTGCGGCTGGTGGTGGTGTTTATACGTACTACTTACTGTTCGTAGTCACACAAATGCACTGTAGGCATGCAGGCAGGCTATGACAGAGATAAAGAGTAATGAAGATGTGATGACATCTTCATGACTGCCTGGAGATGCAGGTTCAACGCCAGGTCAGTCGAATCCAGAGCTCTGAGTGGAAGTAAGGAACAATGCTGGGAATGGAGAAACATACATATTCATCTTAATCCATTCCGGACAGAGAAATGACTAAAATATCTATTGTATAAGCAGTGCCTCTATTTGGGGGATATCTGTCTTATTTTATTGAACGCACAGAGTTTGGGCCATGACTCATCTCTCATGATGTCTCTTGATAATAAATGTGAGGGCTGCTGGGTAAAGGCCATCAGGTAGAGGAACAAATAATGGCCACTTTCAGACGAGTGTCGGAAATACAACAACTAGCAGGGACCGGGAGAAATGAATTTGTCTTTGAAGTCACCCCGCTTATTGGTCTGTAGTATGTGTGCCCACAGGATATCCCACCCTGCATCATTAGGGTCCCTCACTTTAATGCTTCAAAGATTGAGCACGATTTGGTTATGAAGAATGTCCTCACACGGCTGTTAGCAGCGGAGAAGGTCTTCATTCTCACACTGCTTTTATTCTTTAACTCTTGAGCATAAAAGGCACACGGGCTTTTTGTCATTCGGCACCAGAAGGGCTTTATTCTTGTGTGTCCGGATACACTGTAATCCTTGTCACATACAACAGGCGTCTGATTTGGTGAAATAGGATTCCACTTCCTGTATTGTCCTTTGGTTTATGTAATAGCCCTGCAGAGGTCACCCTGTGCTTTTTTTGCAGCCGTCTATGCCTTTCTGTTAGCTCCTATTTGTAAATATTGTGCCTCACGCAGGAAGCAATATGCGGACAAATCACCTCCTATTTTCTTTCCATGATTTCTTCTTATTTTGTTCGTACCCATCGGTTTCTGTGACCGTCCAATGATTTCTTATCACAGTAAGCTCTGGGTCTGTTTTATGTGAGTAAATGTCTTTTAAAAGATTTCATATCTCTCTCTGTTTCCTGTCATTGATCTAAATGTTTAAATCCATTGCCTGACATTCTTCAGAAACAGAGGGAGGTCTGCAGCCAATCAGATTTCTGTGATTTACCAATGTCTTCTCTTTATCGCTCTTCTCTTAGAGAGAGCTCCTCCGACACACAGGAAGAAATAACATCTAGTTTTTCTTCCAATTGTTTGTCACAGAAAGGAAACAAATCAGATTAAAGAAAAATGCATGAACATACTGTAATATGATTGGATTTAGATCATCAGTATTAATGATTATTTTATTTGTGATAAAAATAGTAGGAAAAAAGTCTATTCGTCTATTGATCCCAATAATAATTACTAAAAAAATCATTGGGAGATAAGATTGTGTGAATATGACCCACATACTGCTATTCAATGATTTTCTTCTAATGCCAGTATTGATGTCTGGAAAATCTAAGTTTACTTGATTTATTAAACATTACCTGAGATGCAATACTAGTGCAGTTCTTATTTTTCTTACAGCCTTTTTTTGTTGGCATCTCCTCAAATGTTTGGGGCCAGGAGACTGTCTGCACACGGCACAACACCTGCCTTTATTTAAGGATTAGGGTGTGTTACCTATGCTCATAATAAACAATCAGCCACACACATCCGATTTGATGAAGTGGGATTCATCATTCAGAGCACGTAGCTGAGAGCTGATTTGGATGGGGTGGAACATTTGATGCAAATAGGGTTGATTATTTTTCCGTTAATTAGAGAAAATATAAGAGAATGTTCCTGCATGTCACCTATTGTCTGTTTATAACTGCTAACACACAGCTACCGCTTTGTGTAAGTGACTTGATTGACTGTCTTCCCGTCTAAAAATGGCCTGTTACGCTCATTTCTCGATGGTCAGTTTCACCATCTGATTTCACTGCTTAATTAGTGAGGCAGTGTGAAGTGTGATATTGGCTCAAATTGTCTCTCAGCTGTGCTGTTAGTCCCCTGTGCGGCGTGGTGTGTCACCTCCGGCAGTGACTGGCCACAGAATGATGTGGCAGATAACAGAGGGCTCGGGGTGACTTACAACTGATACAAAATGAGACAAGGATTGTTGTCTCCTGCTGTGCATATTGATGAACCCAGAATGGAAACAGAAAATAACAAAGCGCCGCACAGCGGAGCGGGCATTCTGTAGCATGCTGTCATTAGAAACAGGGTGTATTTGATGTATTAAAGGTAAATATCTTTCTCTCTGTTTCCGGTAATTGATCCAAATGTTCAAATCAATATCCAGACAATCCTCAAAGACAGAGGCAGGTCTGCAGCCGGATAATCTGATTTCTCACCACAGTTTATCTGCATCATGAGCTCAGCAGAGAAAACGAACACTCCAGTTCATACCCTCCTACATTAACTACCTATTTAAATACTGCATTGTGTGTTTTTGCTTTTTAAGGATCGAGTCCACCTCTCTCCCACTCACCATCTCTGCTTGGACTTGATCTTCATATACTGTAAACACATATAATTGTTTGTCGCTGTGTAGGTGCTAGGTCTGTGATTCCTCCTCTCCGAATTTGAGATTATTTTACTGTCGGAACACATTTTTTGTCTTTAGTGAGTCACCTAAATGTCTAAAATGTTTGCATTTGCATCTAAATCTAAATGCCAAGAGCATTTCAGCTCTTCCTGCCTTCTTGTTTTATTTGCCTACCTGTATAATACTCAATAATACACGTTCCTCTATCTCTTCCTGTGCACAATCTTATAGAGACAGACAAGGGTGTTCTTTTCTAACAGATTAAGCGCCTCTACGTCTGTTTTAATTAAAGGTGCCAGTTTATTGGATTGAACTCCAGGAAATGAAATAATCAAAACATTTTGATCCTGCGCTCTGAGTTCAGGGATGATTCACCGCATTTACAATACGGCGTGTCCTTCTGAATGCCGCTGTGTCATATAGAATCTTATATTAATGATGAGTAATATAAAACCTTTGCACTGAATTTATTGTCGACTTCAGCTGTCATCTCACCACGACATCTCTCTCATTTATTAGGTGGTCTACAAGAATAATGAGTTTAGACTGGAGCTGTCACGACTGGCTGAACAGCGGGACCCAAAGATCAGTATCCATGGCGGCCTGATATTCAGCTGCGAGGACGTGGAGGCCCTGGTGCCGATCACCTTCGACACTCCCTCTGCCTTCTTGACTTTACCCAGGTGGAACGCAAAGAAGACGGGCGCCATATCTTTTGACTTCCGCACCACGGAGCCCATGGGCCTGCTGCTGTTCAGCCATGGCAGTCTGCAGGGCGCGATGCCAGACAAACCCCGCGCCGACTTCTTCGCCATCGAGCTGCTGGACGGGTTCCTCTTCCTGGTCATGGATATGGGCTCTGGCAGCATCAAGATGAAGGCCAGTAACAAGAGGCTGGATGATGGCGAGTGGTGCCGTGTGGACTTCCAGAGGAGGGGTCGTAACGGTGAGATAATTCTGTGTGTTTGTGGAAGCCTTCTGTCTGCTTCTGTTACTCCAGTTTTAGCTCTGGAGCAGAAAATGTTCCAAGCTGTGAAACCGCCATATGTCAGCGTGGAGCCAGTCACATTGGCCCGCTCTGGCTTTCTCTTCACCGCAGCGAAAAAACATTCACGCATATTAGGTTTTAATTACAATGATATTTTCAGTTGCTATAATCTATGTGTGACATTTGGAAATCTGTGTTAACCTATTTCACAAGTGGCCAATTATACAGACATCCACCTCAAATGTGGCCTTATTAGTACAATCCAAATGTCTACCTTATTAGGAAGACACTGTTCCTCCTCATACTTCTTCCTACACATTTCTATGAATACATTTCCTTCCATCTCAAGCAGAGTATTATGACAATGCCATTTATAATTCCTTCCTTTTCAGGGCGAGTTTTAGTTTTGGCTGCTGCTTTTCTCATAAAATCAACTCCCAAGGACTGCCAGTGCAGTTTTCTTAATTCACACTCTTTTAGGCAAGCAGTGCCTCACTTCTCACTAGGCACAGCCCACACACACGTCTTTCTTTGCTCAGACAAAAACCTTGTGTAAGTACAAATTGACTCATTTCCTGCCCTACAGGCTTAATCTCCGTGAATAGCCAGAGCATCCCCTTTGCTGCTAATGAAGGCAGCGAGATCCTGGACCTTGACGGGGAGATGTATCTCGGGGGGTTACCTGAGGACCGGCAGGCCCTCATGCTGCCCCCCGAGGTGTGGACCGCCTCCCTCAGCCTGGGCTATGTGGGCTGTGTGAGGGACATGTTCATAGACGGGCAGAGCCGTAACCTGTGGAGGCTGGCGGAGGTTCAGAGCGCCACAGGTGTGAGCAGCTTCTGCACCAGAGAGACCCACATCAGGTGTGCCAGAGACACTTGTGCCAACGGCGGACACTGCAAGGAAGGCTGGAACCGACACATCTGTGAATGCAACGGTACCGGCTACCTGGGTCCCAGCTGTGAGAAGGGTAAGAGTTTCTGAGACATATGACGGTGCATGAGAAGGATAAGTGATTTCAAAATGAGGCTGAAAAGCTTTTAACACTCGTTGGCCTGTATTTTATTTATTGATGTAGCTGTGTAGTGCCTGGAAAGGTCCTGCAGGAATAGAAAAATAATGTCGATAAAAAAAAAAATCAATTACAAGCCTTAATACTCAAGCCTCAGACAAAAATATTAAAATTTACAATTGAAGTATCATCATCTGCATGCTTAATAATGTCATTACAATTCAAACAATAGAGCTCCACGTTTACAAAGGATAGGAGGTGACAATCAAAGCATAGGCATAGGCCATAGTTAATTATTCTACAGTTCAGTTGTACAGTGCTTCATTAATGAATTATCAGTGTGGAAAGGTTCTCCGTGCTACGAGTGTTTCATTAGAAATGCAGCGCTGCTTCTGCAGTGATACGACCTGAATCACTCTGCATTTCCCATGCAGATGGTTTCCTCACAGAGAGGCCAAATTACGCAGATCCACTAGCAGCTAATAGAATGAGGGATATTTGAAAATCCCCCTTGTATTGCTTCATGAACTCCTTCAGAAATGTGATTGCTGCCGTAATCTCACCACTGTCTTTGCTAGTTCCAGGGCTTTTTCTGCCATCTGGTGAGACTGATGAAAACTGCAATCTAAAATCATATCATGCTGTACTTTAGATAAGCTCCAATTCAGGTTTCAATCTATAAATGCCACTTTGCTTTGTGAATTCCTCTGAGGTTCAATGTCTGCTAACGCCTCTTCCTGAAATCCATAGAGGCCACGATGGTGAGCTACGACGGCAGCATGTATCTGAAGGTGCTGCTGCCAAGGACACTCCACACAGAGGCAGAGGACGTGTCCCTGCGCTTCATGTCCCTGAGGGCCTTTGGCCTGCTGGTGGCCACCACCTCTCAGCAGTCAGCGGACACACTGCGTCTGGAGCTGGACGGAGGCAGAGTGAAGCTCACTGTGAACCTGGGTAATGCTGCTGCTGCTGCGGCAAATGCGAGCAGATAATGCCTGTTGACCTTCTAAATGTGTCAACGAGCTATCATGACATTAGTTTTGTCTCAGACTCTCTCATATCCATCTTCATGCACAACAACTACAGTTGCTCAACAAGATAAGCAACTCCCTTGAGCCTTTTTTATCTTCTCAGAATTTTTTGTGATAATATAATGTGACATAAAATAAAACAACATAAATAGTTTGACCTTTTAGATAGTTGGATAAGAAGGTCTATACCACTCTCAGATCTGTTGAAGAATTACAGGCAAGCAGAGGGCTAGCTTAGCTAACACCAGATCTGCAAACTAGGGAATACAGGAAGCATGGCTCTGTCAGGGCGTTAAATTACAGCAGAACAACTGAGGTGTAAAAAGCCCAATTCCTGGTTTCATGGGCGGGTTATGTATCAGACTATCTTTTTTCATTTAGTCTTTGTTGGTAGCCTGGCAACATCTCAGAGCCAGATAATAGTCTAATACATAATCACAGTAAAGTGTAAAATGGTTATATTTACACTTTTTAGCTTGCTGCTAGCTGCAGTGTGTGATCTTCTCATCTCACTAAAAACATTTGGAAGAAGAACCTGTCCCACACAAACAGCTATGAAAAACTCAAGGGGTTTAATGCCTTTTTAAGCAACTGTGTCTGTGTGTATGAATATTCTTTCTCTCTATCTGTCTCTTTGTCACTTTCTTTCTCTCTTTCTCTGTCCCTCTCTCTCAGTTCATCCAGTGGTCAGGTCCCATCTGACCGTCCTCTCTTTCAGCCCTTCAATGGCTTTGTCTGCAGTTCAAGGAGAAGGCAGTCAGAGATCAGATCTATCATTACACTCAGATATTACCACTCACATCGCTAAAGCTGTAGATGTGACCATTCGAGTTCCTTCCTCTCACATTTACTGGCCTGTCCAGTTTAGAGTCGCTTCACTGAGCACATGGTGCCGGTGATGGACACACTTACGCACACACACTTACGCACACACACTTACGCACACACACTTACGCACACGCACGCACGCACACACACACACACACACACACACACACACACACACACACGCACACGCACACACACCTGCAGCATTCTGGTCTCTGGCTGTCTGTATCCACTGCTCTGTGATGGTTGACAGCTTGAGAGCACTCCTCAGCCACATGGCTTACACCAATATATTCATACTATACAGCGGAAAAAATGGGTTCCATTATACAGAACATGCCAATGATGAGTGGGTGAATCCATTTTGAGGCTAAAACTGTGAATACTGCAGATGGATTTGGAAAGTATTAGCTGTTGTAGACATGGGGAGATGTTAGCAAAGCATCACATTAGTGCTGGTGTCATTACTTTTTCATGGGGTAAGGTTCACTGTGGCTGCAGGTTGTGCAAATCGCCCTTTTCCTCTGTATTCAACTTGAAAAATATATAACTGTCAGGCCTGCAGGAACGAGCAAGCGGGGAGGATCACGGTCTGGGATTTTAAGTAGAGGTGCATTGGTGCAATACAGACAAATTCAGACTATCAAGTACGATACCTTTAAGACACATATTACACATGTACAAACTTCCTAGTACTATTCAGTGAAATAATCAATCCCATTCACCTATCCTATTTTTTACCTTGGGTTCACTTTATTAAAATGACCTCTAGGATAAAATACACCCGAAGTTAAATACCTCGGGCAATCAGATGAGGGTTTTTTATGTATATTAACTAAAGGGGTTTTTGAGCGGTCCCCTTAGCACAAGGGTGTCAAACTCAAATACACAGTGGGCCAAAATAAAAAAATGGGCACAAGTCGAGGGCCGGACTGGTTCAATGTTTATTGCAAAACTTATTGAAATGAACTTATTGCACATATTAAACCTGGAACTAACCAAGCTTAAATTATTGCCTATAAAAACAACATTAAACATTAAATAATCAGTTGCATTCATTTCTTATGGCTCTATCTGCAGCTTTTCCAGAGTCATTTCTTATGATTACATTTTTCCACAGGCCAACAACAGCTTCAACAAAACTATTTCCCTCAAAGAACAAACCAAACATGCCCTGTTGTCGTGAGAGAAAAAGTGCAGAAGGAAACATCCATTGAAACTCAGTTTGCTGCTGTGATGCTAGTTCAAGCAGATACTTGGCATCTCATCTTGGGTGCAAGGTCATCAATGTTTGGGCTCAGGCTCTGAGCTGAGGAGACCCTCAGGATTGAGTGAAGGTGTGCGTGCAATATACCGGCGGGCCAGATCTAATAGTAATTAAACATTATCCTGCGGGCCGAACTTAAATCCACCACGGGCCTGATTTGGCCCCCGGGCCTTGAGTTTGACACATGTGCCTTAACATAACAAAAAGCTTATTTTTTTACATTTTCTCAAGCTCGTGAAGTAATATTGAAGTATTTTCGAGAACTCTTTGAACATTTTATCAAAATATGAGTGAAATCTTGCAACAAATCTGTCATCAGCTTTCAAATGAAGTACACCACTTCTATGTGGCATATGCTGTGGACCTGTTATCTACCTCTAATGATCCTCTAAGGAAAAGAACAATGGGTCTATGGTAGGAGAGAGCAGAGTAGAAGAGGTTAATGTATGCATCACTTACTGTATGAATGCATGTATCTCGTCCTTAACATAAATAATAAAGAGGCATCTGTATAACAAGTGAATGAAAAGAACTGAGAGGAAACGACAGTGAGTTAAAAATAATGCATTATCCCAGTAGTTGCTCTAATTTAAGTTGTGTTAATTAGTCGCCCTCAGCTGCTTCTCTCGGTGACAGGCTTAAGATGCTTTATTCAGCTTCCCCTGTTAAAAAAACAAATGGAGCACAGGTTCCATTTTGGTGATCTGCTTCAAACAATTTTCCTCACAGCGGTGCATGTTTGCTGTATTACCCCAGAGCACGCGTCAGTGAACTATCAGTCTCGCTATCTGGAACAGTCAGATTCATTTGCAGACGCCTGAATGTAAGCAGCCGTATCCAAGCCGATACTGACGCTAAAAATAAATACCAATGCACCTCCACTTTATGCTCAATAAAACTCTTATTGATCCCAACGTTGATCTGCGCTATTGTGCTTCCAGCTGTGCCAGACACATGCTCAGGTCTTTACTTTTACTTTACCGTTTCTTTTCTAATGTTATGTACACTACAGGGAGGAAAGTGGCGGTTTAGACTCTCAAGGCTGTCCCCGGATGGTGGGCTCTGAAAAGCACTGAAGTGTCTGCAGAATGTACCTTGAAGGATGTGAAATATTCTCCTCTTTTGTGCTGTTCTTTTTTCTTTTAACCTCACCATCTCACTCTCTCTCTCACCAGATTGTATCAGGATAGACTGTAATCTCAGTAAGTGTCTCCTATGATTATTTACTGTACCATGATGTAGAAAACATGCACTGTGGTGTAATCATATGCCTCTCGCTCTATTCCCTTGTGACAGAGAACATAATTAATTTCTTCTGCCCCACAATCCCCGGTGTTTACTGTTGCCGTTATGCTACTCACAACCATCATTACAAAGATAAGAACGAGAATGAGACTTCTCTGTGGCGAGCTTTTGTGCGGTTGAATATAATTGGCTTTTTCCCCCCTAGACTCATAAATTCTACATTTTAGTAACACTGTGAATGACACATGTTCTCATTAATACAATGTAATAATCTTCTAATCGAATGTAACTAGATTTGACGCTGCCTTTTGTGCCGCAAATGACTCATTCATTTGCTTGTGACTCATTTGCTCGCATAGCTGATAATTGGGTACATTTCAAGTACAATCAGCAATTATCTGTTGTGAGAAAAGCAGCACTCGAATGCAGTTTTGCTACTGGGTAAACACTCTGCAATGTAGAGCTTAGATTAGTTTAAAGGTTAGTCTGATATCTGATTACTAGATGAGTATGAATCAAGACTATCAAAAAGACTTGTTGTTGCGTAAATGTTGAAAGATGTTAAGTAGTTTCTTTGATTTGATTTTGGCGTCAACTATTAGAATTGTGAAACTAATTTATGCACAAGGACCAGATGCAGTGTATTTAGTGTTTGTATCATCACACTAATTAATAGAGCTGTTCCTAGGAGGTGTTATTGCTAAACATTTGAATAGAGAGTGTACGTTTGTTGCAGCATTTTAGTAGATTACTGTTAATGTTACTAGGGCTGTAACAATGTCAGCTATAAGACCTTAGACCTATAGAAAATGTAAAACAATCATAATCATGCCACAAGTCAAATCCACTTCGTACTATAACTGTGTGATTTGTTTCTTTTTTGGGAACTGAAACTCAAAACACAGTTAAGAGAGGTAGATAGAGTTTGTAACCATAACTTCACAAAATAAAATAAACAGTAAGGGTTAGTTTAAAGGCAACCAGATGAACTTAAAAAAAGAAAATCCACAATGAACATGTGTACTATTAGCATAACATAGATATGTATGTTTTAAATGTCACAGTGATAATCGATACTGGTATATCCAAAGACCCTTAAGTGGAAAATATTCTTAATATTCAAAATAAATCAACGGATGTAGGCTTTAATTAAAAAAACGATTAATTAAGTATTTAAGTCCACCTTGTTGTCATGCGTCAAAGGACACTATACTTCATTATACCACACATGTAATTGGCTTCTAGGGCCATATGTGCTATAGATGCAGGGGGGACAGGCTGGATAAATGTTCTGTACTTAAACCTTTTAATATGAAACATTACTGAGCGACCTGTCAGCAAATCATCAAATACATTATCATGATCCATGCTGCATTTAAATAGGCAAACATACATCCATTGGGTCGATAGCAGATGAATGCCAAAGGCCAATTTCCCTCCTTTATCAGCAGAATATATTTTCTGGTATTCTTTGTGTGAAATAGAGTGGCACTTTAAGGTTGTACTGCGGAAATGTTTGAATTCATGATGTAGATTGTCACCCTCACCTGATACTGAGAGACAGGCAATTTAAATGTAGTTTCAGATTACAGCAGTGGAAGAAAGTCGTTCGGCAGTGAAGAGGTAAACGGCTCCCTGATAAAGATCATCAAATAGAGAGGAAGCTATTGAACGCTTATACAAAATTATCACTATAATCGAGCACCGACTGAAAGCTTGTTTCCAAGCCTCATGTATGAATAATTCCCAGACTCTCTAAAATAATGGGTTTAACTGTTATTGTTCAATTTCGCAATGATTTACATCCTATTAGATTGTTTTTATGCTCACCGGAGATGAAAGGAAAACTATTTGTTGTGCACTATAAAACATATTTTACCATCTGAGCACGTACAATAGAAAGATCAATAACCGACAGTCTGGTCTGAAATGTTGTTTAATGTTAACCTATTGATCTGAGATGCTGACGTAATGGCTATACACAAAAGGGGACAATTTACTGTTACTGCAGATTTAGCAAACATGTGTTAGCCTAAGCAACAGTCCATGTTATTGAATGGATTACTTGTGTTCCTCTGATTGAGGTAAGTAGTGTGTGTGCGATACATGGGTGTGTTGTTTGATAGAGACTGCATGTACTGTCTCTGTAAACCACTTTGATTTGGTTCATTTCTAATAATAATAATAATGCATTTTATTTATATAGCGCTTTTCACAACTCAAATACGCTTTACAGAATGAGGGAGGGTAGACAAACAATTTCTGTTCTACAATAAATGATAAACAATAATAGAATATGCAAGGCCAATAGCCAAAACCCTAAAAACACATAAAACTTAAAAATAATCTTCCCAAAAATTGTGCTTTGTTGATTTCAATGTTAAATGTAAATATATTATCCTTTGAAAAATATAATTATTGAAACATATATTAGAATTTACACAATCTTAAAAAAATAATAACTGGCTTTGGGTATTATTAATAAGTGAGAAGGGGAAAAATATGGAAGATTGACATGCTCCTTTATATCCTCGGATATTTGCCAAAGTAATTGCCCTCTCTACCAGCAGATGGCATTGTACCATCATAGACTGTGCACAGAAAATATGAAATGTCTGTGCATCTTATTGTGTGGAAACAATTAATTCCTGATCAAGTCCGCTTCATGTTTGCCACATCGGTGATCTCTGAAGATCTCAATACTGCAGATGAGATAATGGATGGCTTTTTAATGGATTTGATAAGTGATAACGGAAAATGGAGCCAATTATCCCAAATTATCTTCCAAAATAATCAAAACAATTGTCGTTTAGTGAGCGCTTTCAGTGGGAAGCATTACAGATTGCAACATAGACTCGTTGTGAGTTTTAATTGTCCTTGTTTTGAACACCTTTAAGGATTTTCGTTACTCAGATTGCTCAGGTGTGGCTAGGGTAGTTTATCTCTAAAGGAATCAGAGCAGATTTAAGAACAAATGTTTCTGCAATGCTCTTGATTAATTCTCCAGGATATGGGGAATAATGCTTCACAACACAAGACAGTTTTAAAATGAAGCATTTGTCCTACAAAATTACCATAACATGCTTTGATTAACACGCACATCGAGCGTTCAAAGTCTCCGCTCACTCTTAATGCTGACCTGTATAACTGCACCATGCCTTTGAAGTTATTCTTGTTTGAAAATATGAATCACATTCAATTTTAACTGAGGATCAAACTGGACCAAATAGACCTCTTACAAGTGCGGCTTGCTCTCGGGCCACTGGAAGCTGAGCTTGTGAAGCAAAGGCACTTTGAAAGGAGGCCACATTTCAAAGGATTTACACTCAGAGGTCTGTGTGAATACTTATAACATTACACCATTTTAATGCCCACTGCAGTGTTTGAGATAGATCACCATCACTGATGTTAAAAGCTGTTTTGTGTGCTGCAATTTTTATTCATACTGAGATTTAAAAAAATGAATGACCCTGTTACGACCTGTCCCCTACCTACCTGTAGCGGTAGTGGCTCGTGGGAAGACCCGCAGCATAAAAACAAACCACACCAAACACACAGTATAATTAACGGCGAGCATTTATTGACAGCACAGCCGTAACTTAAATGCCAACCGGCAAAAGGAACAAAGTCTGGAGGACGGCAAAAACAAACAAAAAGGAAGAAGGGGGCCTGGGCCAGCCACACCACGGGCCGTAGGACCCAGAACTTCCCTTCTCTAACCAAAGATCTAACACAACCTAAGGGGGAAAAAAAGCCGCGAAAAACCTAATCTAACATCCTCGAGAGTTCACACAATAATAAGACAGCAAAGAGAATTACGGATCCACACGTGGGGTGAGAGGCAATCCACGGATAGAATCCCTCGGCATCAGGACAGGAAAAGCGACCTCTTCTCCTCCAGCTTCCCCTCTTTAAGTCATCCCCAGCTGAATGTAATTAGGACACCTGGTGGAGGCGGAGCCAGGGGCGGACCAGGTGTACCTGCGCAGCAGAGAGACAGAGAAAAACAACACAGAGCACGTAACAGACCCCATTATCAAATATAATATTACGACAAGAAATAATACTTTTATTTGTACGAATGAAAGTAAATGTTTTGCATTTTAACATTGATGCGGTGGAACAACAGATATCTGTATTTTTTTACGTTTTCCTTTATTATCAGAAACCTGCCCACTACCACAATGCAAATTGACAATCGACAGTTGATCCTAGGCCGTTTCTCAATCGCGAGGATGCTGGCTTGGTAGTCACGTACTTCCAAGTCACTTCCTTCAGAAACGAAGCAAGTATGCTTCCAAGCCAAGGCTTCGGAAAACGAAGAAGAATAGAACAGGCTAACAAGTGTGCCACTCTCTCTAACGGTTTCAACATAAACTGTACCGAAAATAAATACCTCACGATGTCTATCTAATTATGAACTTGTTGAAGCCGCCCTCAGAGAAGCACAGATAAGATAAATATGTATCCAGCGTTCGACTATCTCTGTTTCCAGTACGGCAATTGTCATTTCTACAAGATAAACCTTTCTGTTTTTGTGTTGGAGACGATTCCAGGGAGTGGTTTGTTTCTCACTATGGAAGTAAATCAGTCAAACATAGTGAGCATGATTTTATGCGATTGATCTGTCTGGTGTCTGGTGTACGCAGTCGATATTCGGCAGGTGGATGATGATACCATGCTGTGTGCTGTAAAGACACTTGATATGCAGCTCTGGACAAAGTCTCCAGTCGCAGTTTTATTTCCCTGAGGATGAAACAGAGCAGTGTTCGGAAAGCAGTTGATGTTTTCCATGTATTGCCCTCTGTACGTCCCCTGTAATTCTCCTACACCATGAGCTCAATTAGACAGACAAACCCCTGAAGGCGCAGTCAGCTTAGGCATGGCCAATTAGTTTCCCAAGCGATGTCAGAACTCCTTTGAACTGCCGTGTCGGCCTGTTGCATCGGCACTGATTCGGGATGACGGTGCTGCAGTGGCAAGCGTGTGCACTGTGACCTATTTTGAAACCAATGAAAAAGGCAGAGGATAGTGCAGGAATATTGAAACTTAAAGCTGCATGTTTAAACCAAGCCCCTGGGTAATACAATATCTAAGTAGACATTAATCAAATCACTTGCTATTCAGGACAGAAATAACCAGGGATGACAGGGGTACTTTAAATCTGTTACACTTACAAGTTACCTGTAATAAAAATGAAACCATAAACTTAATCTGAGTATCAGAAAATAAAAGTAATGTACCCTGATTACCTTCTGTTTTGGATTACCTCAATGAAAAATGCAATGCAAATAATACAAAATACATTTCAATAAGATGTTTTTTACTTAGTGTATCATGTAAGACAACAGGACAATGTAACCTTAGTAAATGAAACACGTTATTTTGGATTTATTAGCCTACAGAACAGTACAACAATACAATGTGCTCCTTTAAAAGCAAACACAATATGCTCTTTCTTAGGTTTCTAGCATTGTAATCCTGCTAGTATTCCCCGTTCTTTTTTTTAAATGTAACATTAATCTGATTAACTCCTTTATTAATGTAAGGAATACACTTAACTATTTTTTGTAATCCCATTAAATGTAATCCGTTGCTCCCCGAGCCTGAAAATAACCCAAAAGCTACCTTGATTTATTTTATCCTCAAACTGTGTTGTGAATGCAAAGTATTGGATGCCGGTAAATGTTGATGTCTGTGTGAGTGTCTGTTGTTCTGGAAGTGGATGAATGCATCGACCCTGTGAAGTGAGCCTCATGTTTAAAGGATGTATACTGAGCTGCTGTGGTATGATTGTCACTTTACTCACTTTACTCCTCTCAGGCAAGGGTCCAGAGGTACTGTTGGTAGGCGAGAAGCTGAATGACAATGAGTGGCACACCGTGAAGGTGGTGCGGCGTGGGAAGAATTTGCTGCTCTCTGTGGACAATGTGACAGTGGAAGGTGTGTAGCAGGATTGCAGGAGCTGTGCTTACTGAGCTGCAGATATTGAAAGGTAGTTTAAATCTGAGCTTCTTTTTTGTCCCCTAGGCCACATGACAGGCGCCCACACCCGCCTGGAATTCAACAACATCGAGACGGGGATCATGACAGAGCGGCGGTTCATCTCCGTGATGCCTTCCAACTTTATCGGCCATCTGCAAGCTCTCTCCTTCAACGGGATGCTGTATCTGGACCAGTGCAAGAACGGAGACATCTCCTACTGCGAGCTGAATGCTCGGTTCGGCATGAGGCACATTGTGGCCAATCCTGTGACTTTCACAGCGCAGGCCAGCTATCTGGCCTTCTCCACCTTGCAGGCCTACGCCTCCATGCACCTCTTCTTTCAGTTCAAGACCACCAGTCCTGACGGGCTGATACTTTACAACTCTGGAGATGGTAGTGACTTCATCGTGGTGGAGCTGGTCAAAGGGTAAGTCATGTGTGTTTGGACTCGGATAAGTATAGAAGGGGCTTTGGGTAAGGCAAGGCAAGTTTATTTGTATAGCACCTTTCAACACAATGCAATTCAAAGTGCTTTACAAAAACGAAAGACACTAAGAGCATTAAGAAATAGTACCGCTCTATCGAAATCAGTCGGAAGTCGCAACGGCTCATTTCAAAATAAACGTGGATTTGCGTAAAAAACGGGGTTCGGATATTTTGTTTGATTTTAAATAAATAAAGTCTTGGCTTTCAGAATATGAAACTTTTATTTCCAAAATCACACGATAAATACATTTCTGAAGCTTGTAAAGGGAAGAAGACGGCTCTCACTCGCAATCTGCTCTTCCGCAGCGCCGCCCCCCCTCCCTCCGGCTGACATTATGAATGTACGCGTATAGTAATCATAAATAACACGGCAGGGTCCGTTACAGTTTGTTTTCATCTGATTTCAATTAAACAAAGTCTTGGCTTTCAGAATATTAAACTTGTTTCGGCAAATTCAGATGATAAATACAACTTTGAAGCTTGTAACGGCATCATTACAAGCGGAGAACAGAGCAACTTGACGTCACAGCAGGCATAACAACAGCCGGTGTTTCTCGTGAGTGTTTTCCCCGGGAAACAAACACAATACACACAAACGCAAAATTACACAAACACACACACACACACACACACACGTATATACACACACTCGCGAGCTTCCCCCAGACCAGTAATCCGTCTGGGGGACGCGCGTGCGTGCGTGTAAAAACACTAATTTAAAAGCACATTTTATAATTTAGCAGGAGATTAGAAATGTATTTTGGCCCTTAACCATTCAATGCTTTATAGACCAGCAACAGTATTTTGAAATCAATTATTTGACATACTGTAAAGTTTTCAGAACTGGAGTACTACTACTAGAGCTGTCTCTAACTAAACTGTTAGTTGAGTTGTGTCCCCACAAAGAACCATGCAAAGCAAACCCTGTAATGTTCTGTTCACCAGAGAAGTGCTCAGAATTTTTCGGAAATTAGTCATTCAGCAGGAAAAAGAATATTAAAAATGACTAAAGTAATCCTAAGCGACTTAGCCGATTAGTTGGCGAAAGTGTGCAGTTCTGATATCCATCAGTGCAAAAATATTAGTCTTGCAAAGCTTAAGGCGCCTTGAAGAGTGCATTTTCTACTTTTCTCCTTTTTTGGGCTCAAAATGTCTTAATCTCGATTTATTTCTTCAATGAATCCGCCTGCAGCAGTGGAGAGGCACACAAAATAGCATTGAAATGTTGTCATCATAAATTATTTTAGTATAGGGAGGGATGCTGATAGAGGAAGTATGACTACAAAAACAATAACCGCCATCACCAGAGCACCGGTGTCATTCTCACACAAACACATTTGGCAACAGATATATGTTCCTCATGTTTTATTCATTGTAGAATTTTTTTTGCCACCGACAGATTAGCAGAGAAGGGTTGTCGAAACTGAGCAAGCAAAGCAACGATTGTAGTTTTCCTCTGTCAAACCTTGCACAGACTCTTTTCCCAGTTAGCAATTATTCAGCAGGAGGCCTTGTTTCGGCTCCGCAGCCTGCAGCAGAAGTCGCACAGACAACACAGACGAGAAATGGCTTCCAACGCTTCTGTCATTGTTTTCCAGGCTGCTCAATATTTAGTGTGAAGTGTGGCAGCTTTGAAATAGATGCTGCTTAACTTTGATTTAAACAAGATTCCGTTTTTTGACAGTGCACTCTGTGTGGTGATCAAATGTAATTTCGTGTTGCTGTTTGGCTTCATTCATTCACTGTTATCTGTGTCAACAAAGAGCATTTCTGACTTTGACCCCCACCCCTCAGTTGTTATATCACAAAGCACAGCAGTTTACGCAGCTTGAGGTGCTTATTTTCCACAGTGTGATCCCATAACAGCATATTGGAGGAAACGAACACAAAAGAAACACTAAATGTAATAATATGTATTGTTGTGTAGGTACGTTCATTATGTTTTCGACTTGGGAAATGGGCCGTCGCTAATGAAGGGAAACTCTGACAAGCAACTTAATGACAACCAGTGGCACAATGTGATGATCTCCCGGGACAACAGCAACGTGCACATCCTCAAGATTGATTCCCGCACCGTCACCCAACACGCCAATGGAGCCCGCAACCTGGATTTGAAAGGTAATTAACTTACTTACTTAATTCAAAGGATTGTATCAAGGGACCCAGTGAATACAACAAAGTAAAAAATACAATTGAGATTAGTACAAGATTTCATGATAAAATATGACTTTTTATAGTATTTCTCAATGTATTTTGTTCCTATATACTGTATGTTAACACAAATACAGGAACATGTTTAGCATGTACCAACAACTAGAAGCAGGCACCATTCAAAAGCTCTAAAAAGGGTGGACTCCACTTTTACAAAATGTATCATGAGATTGTCCAAAATGTGTAAAATGATTCACGTTTGTTCTAAAATTGTTGTCCTCTTCACACATGTTGTATTGAATATAATGCAGTCCAGTCAACCACTAACTAAATGACCTAAATGCTAAAACGTAGAATTAAATCTCTTAATTAAATGTTGGATTAAATGAAAGACTTCCCGATCTCACAGGTGTGGAGGAAATTCCACACAAATCAAAAACAACCTGTTTGTCAAGAAATGAACATATAATAGAAGTTTAAAGCAAGGTTTTGTTATTTAGTAAAGTCAATACAAGTCTAAAGCATTTAACAGAGTTCATCTATTTCAGCTGAAAGGACAGAGTCTTTGCACCTAAAGGTTTGTACAAGATCTTACAACATGCAACGGAAAATACAAACACAATACACTCGAGAGCAAGGGAAGGGGAAGGTCTTCAGCGAATTCCCATTACAGGGAGTGTTGGCCAGATGGTGGAAACTTGCATACATGTTCATTATTTTGATTTGATTTATTTTGAATGTGTAAAACAATAATACAAAAATGTAACATGAGAATTATTATACAATACAAAATTAAGCAAGTTGATATACACAAATATTACTGATTCTAACTTACGTATAAACAAATGATCTACTTAATTACACATCTGAGAAGGGGTGGGAAGAAGTTTACACTTATTTAATCTCACCCCTTCTCCCAAAAACTAAATTATTAACACTTTTTTTTGTTTGTTTCTTAAAGAAATACATTTTTTATTAAAAAAAAAAAAAAAAACATAAAACAACAAATAAATAACCTGATAAATACACAAACAAATAAGCAGATAAATAAACAAACAAATAAACTAACAAATACATAACGGAGGTAAATGATTTTCAAGAAAAAATCAAATCACAAACCAAATAAATAAATAAACTGCAAACAGTGTACCCTATATCTTGTTAAAATCATGTCCTTATACAAATGACAAACCAATGGTTGAATAGACAGCCTTTTGTCTGTTCTAAGGAAGTGCAAATTAGAAGCTACAGTAGATGTGAATTCAAACAGTGGGAAAATAGAAACCAGAGAATGAAGTTACAGTAATGAAATGAGACTTAATGATACATTTCTACAACAACAGGCGAGCTGTACATTGGTGGTGTTGGGAAGAGCATGTACAGCAGCCTGCCGAGGTTAATAGCATCCCGGGAAGGGTACCAGGGCTGTCTGGCGTCTGTGGACCTGAACGGGAGACTCCCCGACCTGCTGGCTGACGCCCTTCACAAGGTCGGAGAGGTGGAGCCCGGCTGTGGAGGTGAGCTGGGAACACGCTGGGCACAATGAAAAGAGAATGCTCCTGTAATCTGATTTCATCGGCACACAGCACACATGAAATCAGAGGAAGTCAGCGTTTACCAAAAGCTAATTACACTGCATGTGTTCTGGTAATAAACAGCTTTGTTGATTGCTCCATTATGCCACAGAACACATCTTGTGGTTTTATTATAATAGCGAACATGTAATAATAATATCAAGAACTCCAGTTGCTTTGGTTGAATTGTACTCAAACAAGAGAGCAATCAGGAAAGCGTTGACTGAAAAGACTTAATAATATTGATTAATATCCCAGGTACAAATTACCTTCACAGAAAACACTTCACAGGATATGGTAGATCTGAGAGTGTACCCAAAGTTTGGCTTAATGGTGACGCAAAGGTAAAGGACCTAAAGTCTCCAGTATCAAACAAATTGTATGAGTTATTAAGGAGGAGGTTTAATGATAAGTAGTGAATGATGTGTTCTAAGGGTTTCCAAAATGGAGACAGGATAATATTAATTGTTCTCTTGAGTGCGCACAGCGTTTTTTGTTTTGTGTTAAGACTTCACACACACAGAATCTGGTCAGAGTTAATCACATTGCTTTTATGGAGATCATTATTAAGTTGTTTAATATGTTGTTTACAATGTGAACGTTCAGCATTTGTGTACTATTATTATATTCATATATAATAGGAATATGTAGGTTGTGTGGGAACAACAACTCTGCAAATCTTGACTTGGGCGGTGGTGGCGAAGTCCATAGGGAGTTGGCTTGGCAACTGGAAGGTCACGAGTTCAAGTCCCGGCAAGACCAAGTGCTACCGAGGTGTCCCTGAGCAAGACACCGTTCCCCACACTGCTCCCCGGGCGCCGTTCAAAATGGCAGCACACTGCTCCTAACACTAGGATGGGTCAAATGCAGAGAAACAATTTCCCCACGAGGGATTAATAAAAGTCCATCCATTGACGTGTTGCTTAACACTCTGGGCAATAAAAACAACACATCGTCTTTGTAGTGTACGTGTTGCTTGCATAATTTAAACCTAATGCCCTTAAACACACTGAAATGAAATGAGAGTATTGAGTGTATGAAAGTCGCTTTGGGTAAAGCATTTGATAAGTAAGTAACAAAGTAAATGAGCCCATCTGAGGGTTGTCTCTCATGCCCCGGCCACACGAGGACGAAAACGGCTAAACGCATATGATTAACGCAAACGCAATCGCAAACAAGCTTCCGTCCACACGCAATAGTCATCCGGATAGTGTCTGCACACACGAGACCGCTCCGTTTAGCTCCAACCGCTGGAGAAGCTGCAGTACATATGCCAAGCCTGTACGTGGCGCTGTAACTTCCTCCACAAAAGCAGCGAAGAAGCATGGTTGTCATGGTTGCCCTTCTGTTTATTCTCCGCGGTGGGGGCCGAGGGAACCGGGCAGAGTTTTTCGCCAGTCAACGTGTATTAAAGTTTAAATCTTCCGACAAAATTATAAAAGTGCCGGTCAAAGGTCTTCTTTGTTATTTATTGAGCTTTAAAACAAATGAATAATGACTCTATATAATATAATAATAAAATACACGGAGCCTCTCTTTTTCCTCCCTCTCTTCGGACAGCGCCAGTGTCTGTTTCATGCAGCAGCTGATCCAGTAATGAGTGACCCGGCCGACAGTAAAAATAAACATATTTATAACTAGTTTAGGTAGTTTGAGAGGTAATTAAAATAGCTAAGGGTGATGATCTGACTTGAAATGTGTGTTTTACTCCATTCACCGCCGCATCACAGCGGGAGGAGCTGCAGGTGAGCAGAGCTGCGTGTCTCCGTCCTGTCAGATTAGACTTCACTCGCGTTTATGTCCATATCGAGAGAAAGATAAATAATCTGAATTCAGTGTGCAGTTTACTTTGACGCGGGGGTGAGCAGCAGAGGTGGGGAGAGGCGGGGCTATTGCCTCATCATTATCAGAAAATGATCGTATATGGCGTACACACGGAGCCGTTGGACCCCCCAGAGCGTTGCGTATGCCGTTCTATCCACCTTGGGACCCGTTATCGTTTACGCAGTCGTTTAGTGCCGTATTCGGTCGTCCTCGTATGGCCGAACGGTCTATATGACACTAAACAGTAACGCAAACGACCGTTTTCGTCCTCGTGTGGCCGGGGCATCAGAGTGCCATTCAAGTGAACTTGCTGTGGCTGAATGCTTTTTAGTGGAATCGTGTCGATTACATGCTAAAGTAAAAACATTGTGGGGGAAACTTCTGTGTAGCAATGCAGGAGGAGTCACCGACTCAAAGGAGACACGGGGAGAGCTGAAGCTCTGATGGCAAACACTGATGGGTTTATTTGGAGCTTCGGCCGGAGAATTCACAAAACAAGTAAAAGAGTCAGAGGTTCTGACTTCACGGTAGAGTTGCCACGTCAATTCTGAAGAACTCTACCCCAGACCCGTGTATTTAGCTAGTTCAGAGAGAATAATCAACATTGTGCATAACAAGATAGAATCATAACCCCTCTATCAGCTGACGCCAACAGGCAGGAACAGGGAGACAAAACACTGAGAGCACAGCAGCCAAGGTTACAGGTGCGTGTGCTCAGTCAGGACAGTTTGAACTGATAAACTGGGTAAAGTTATGGGCCTTGGAAAATATTTCCCCAACAAACATTACATTTTCCTGGTTTCAATGACAAGCCTACTGTTGCAGTTGTATTTCCTTTGGATAGTAGTGAAGATGCATTAATAAAATAAGGACAGGGCGCCTGGTTAACCTGCTGTCCCCCCCTGCAGGCCCCAGCACCACCTGCACCGAGGACTCCTGTCAGCAACAGGGAGTGTGTCTGCAGTTGTGGGAGGGCTTCTCCTGCGACTGCACCATGACCACCTACGGGGGGCCGTTCTGCAATGACCGTGAGTACAGGTTTATTACGCCTCATGGGGTAGAATGGTAGGGAGAGTCTACTTCTACAAAGTTTTGTCACTGGTCTCTATATGGTTAATTATACTAAACCGCAATTAAAGGATTGATCGACAGTTGCTGTAAAATCTGAAGTCCCTCCTAAGAAAACCAGTCAGACTTATGTTGGTTTAAAGCAGGGGTGTCCAAACTTTTTTCACCGAGGGCCACATACAGAAAAATATACGAAGGGCTGGGCCGCTCACTAGAGGTATATCGCCTCATAAGTTCAGTTATAAGTTAGCAAAATCGATCAAATGTAGGTAAATGATGCTCGTGAGTGTTGGCAGCTCATCCCTTAAAACAGAAACCTCATATTGATTATAATAAGGAGAAATAGGAAGGGTGTATTTCAAGCTTGCTATGTAAATTTGTCATTGGGCTTGTTTCTTATCAACTAAGATATGTTAGAAAATGTTTCCAACTTTAATTGACTGAATGTATTTGAAAAGTGGTCATGAATACTACTGTGTAATATATTTGTACCTTTATATTTAAGAACTACAATTTAAGGCAAGCACAAGTTTCATCTATGGGCCATATTCCATTATACCTTTTGAACTTGCTGAGGGCCAATTCAAAATGGTCCGTGGGCCGCATTTGGCCGTAGTTTAGACACCCCTGATTTAAAGTCTTCAAGACATGTCACTTGTTAGACGCTTTTTATCCAAAGCGACTTACATACTCAGTACTGTGGGCGACCCCCACAGGAGCAATTTGGGGTGAAGTGTCCAGGGACACAACGACATGCTGACTGCAGTGAACCTTGACTGCGGTTTGAACCTGTGACCCCCTGATCCGAACACCAACACTCAACCCACTGCACCACACGCCTCCACAACACCTCTTCAGAAGTAGTTTTAGATGTGGCTGACTCAGCGACACACTGTCATATGGCTTTCAGTGGTAACAGCAAAGTGGAAAACACTATAACCCCATCATCAGAACTGTTCAAGAAATAAAAAAGATCCTTGTTTCATCTTCAGCTTATCCAGCTCAGTGGTTCCTCACCTGTTTGGCGAGTGAACATGTTGTGCTTTTGGATTATTATTTGTTAAGGATTATAAAGTGATATTATGTTATATTTGACCAACACAAGAAGAAACATGGAAAAGGTAATAAGTTAACTTTCTTCTTACTTTCTTTATTGTATTTTGCTCTAACCATGGTGACTCCTAATTCTTATACATGCCAGTTGAATGTGACTTCATAACTATCAAACTACAGCAGTAACACAGCAGTAGGAGCACACGTGATGCTTTCTGTGATTTAGAACCCATTTCCGGGATCTGCAAGTGCTCACTGTTCTCTCTTTACTTAAAACAAAATCAATTGGTGCTCAAAGGTAGGAAATCAATCAAGGACTAATGTATCCTTTAGAAAATAATCAACAAGGATGCAACATATAAGGGACTTGCATTCAACAATGATAATGCAAAGCAGTGTTTGTGGTGGCTTTTCTATCACAACAACAATAACATACGAAATGTGTGTGACACTATTATTACTTTTTAATTCTCACACCTTACATTGTTATATTGTAGTCCCATCTTGTACTCAATGTATTGGAAAACATGTCTACCCTTATTAAGAATATTTACATATCGTGTTAGCGTGAGGATGTTGATGTATTTTCTTTCTAACTTTAGGAGGCGATCGCACGCTAATGCACGACATGATTGATAGCACCACATTTGATAGCTGCCTCTGCCATAAAGAGCCCTCTTTGTCCAAAATAATAGACCCGACTTTTACCAGAAGCTTTTCATTTATAATAGCAAAAGATTAACATTAAGCTTTTTGGTCCAGTGGTCACGGCGAGTTAAGCTTCATTTTCTGCAGTTATTAAAAAGAGCTGCAGGAAGGGTCCCTTTGGGGTGACCATTCTTAAAGTGTGCGGGCATGTAGCATTGTTTTAAGAGAGAAAAGCGCGTTATACTCTGTAGGAGGTCTATTTAAGAATACATTTAGGGTATCGGTGTGTAAAAGAGTAATTGTGCAGAAAGAAAATAAGATGTTTTCTGTTCCCTATAGTGTTTCCGACATATTTTGAGAAAGACACACCTCACCATGGATTTTATTTTGTTAATTAGAACAGTCTAATTAGATAATTAAGGAAGTGAAAACACTACTTTCTGGAGTACAGTTGTTACTGACCTGCAGATACTGCATCTCCTTTAGCTTCTACAGCACAAAGCTGCTTTCCTCCTCCATTTGTTTCGACAAGTTGTCTCATTAATCTGCTTGCTTCCTGTGTTACAAACTTACAAACACAGCCAAATGTGCTCGCTGCTGTAATGTATCGATCGAACCTGAAAATCAATGCTTTGTCCTCTGTAGTCTTTTTCTATTATGTCCTGTACTGTGTATATTACGCTGGTCAAGCTGCTTTTTGCTCAATGCATAAACGAGAGGGCAATATATTGGACAAAACAGGAGAGCTGCATTAGTTTACAGTTTGTTTATGTGTGATATACCGCAGTAGTACAATAGGGATGACTTCACGGCAACATTTTGTATCCATGTAGATGGGACTGTAACATTACAAATTGACATTCCACAACAGGTAAAGCATTAATAAACCCTGTCATTGTCTGCAGCACATTATCACATTATAGGAACAACTTTTTAAAAGTTCCTTCTTCACAACATACCCACAATATGTCTTGCAAGATTGAATGCATTGATTGAGTTTTTTCAATGTTCATCTCTTATTCCCATGCAGTCATACTTGCCAGCTGATCTGTGTCAAAGCAAAGCAAGGATACAAAAAACAAAAACAAATTAATCTTCAATAAGTTTCACAATGATTCCCTTTGAGGGAGATGCATTATTCATTTCGGTACTCAGCTGTTCAACCCGATGTTTTTTGTTTTTCTATATTTTCTCTAGTTGCAGCTAGTGTGATATCAAACATCTAAGCCTGTATTTCAAATTGCTGCCCTAGGGCTAAACATTCATAGCACTCTTTCTGAAAAGTGTACAGCAGCATTTTGTTTCCCAAAAAAGGCAAAATGTGGCTGTTTTAATTACAAACAATACAGATCTTGTTGATTTAATGATATAAAAGCATCGTGAATACACATTTTTTGTACAAGAGCTGCAAACTATTTATTTACTTATATTTCCATGCCCCAGAAAATAATCTATTCATCTACCAAAGGTCCCCGAGTAAGACACATTTACATTTTCAGTGCTTAAATAAAGCAGTTGTCTGCTCCTTTGGTATTTTACTGATAACTGTAGAATATATTCCTGCGTTTAATAGACTATTATTGAACAATAATCGGCACAAAAAAGTAGATTTTCAAGAAAATCAAAAACAATTTAATTGCAGCATATTTGGTTTTCATCCAGCAGCGTTCAGGGAGGACTCTCAATCAGGCGGGGGGGGTAAATGGCATCGCTGACCGATATAAAAGGTCAAACCAATACATCAGTCGAACGCGGAGGAGATAACAAGCCTCATGCTTCACATTGAGCTATCGGGAAAGTAATTAAAACAAATGGAAAATATAACAATGATTTGCAAACACTAACAAATATGGGGGCAGGACAATTGTGTTGTTACCATCAGTATTAGAGGGTTATCCAAGCCAAAATCTGTTGCTTTGTTTTTATCGCCACTACTTAATCCACCCATCGATGTCTTCTTCGACAGAAGGTCAGTCAAATATCCAGAGTATTAAAAACGATGTGTGGAAGCCTATCAAAGCAAAATCCAGTAGTTGGTTTGTGCTTAAACATTGATATTCATATACAGAAAGCAATTTACCAAGTATGCCACAAACATCTGTGCTAATTACCCCCAGGTCATCACCAAAGTCGGAAAGATATACAATATAATGATGATGTGCTTTCCATTTCCAGCGCAGCTCTCTTTAAACATATGGAGAGTGTAATGATCAGTTAACCTCTGAAGCTACAGATGATTCTTTTGGCATGTTCATTACTGGCTTTTGTGTGTGTGCGTGCGTGCAAATGTTTGTCTGTGTATCTGTGCCACTATGCACAGACAAATACCAACACTTACAAACTAAATGTACAACATAGAGCGGGCCGGGTACTCAAATTCGATTTAACCCAAAGAAAACAACAACATAGGTTCAAATGTATTGCAATGCACAGGCGGCAACCTTTTGACTCAACTGTTCCTGTTTTTTCTCTACTCGTCCCGTTTTTCCTTCCTCCCAAACATGAAATTCCAGCTGACAATCTCTAACTCACCACAGTGTTTTCCGCTATCACCCGAACCCACCTTGGCGTCCATTTTGTTAATCAACATCCCCTTTGAATGTTTTTATAGTCATAGACTGTAAATTGTGCCTTTCGCCTCCGGGTAATATGGCACAAGACAGCAGCAGTCTTACGTTCTTGTTTCCAATAGCAGTTAGCAAGATTTATCCAGCTTTCATTTAAATGTGTGCCAGAATGTTATGCTTTTCAATTTTCCTTAAAGGAGCTGGATAGAGTTTGTAAAATCAAGGGACACTATAAAACATATGCAGAGGCTTTTTGTAAACCTGTATACAGATTACATTTTATACAAAAGTAGGAGGAAGCAACCTGAATGATTTGTACTTTCAGTTACAACCATAAGACACGTTTTTAAGATGTTTTTGGGAAATTCGAAAGGTTTTCTCTCAAGATCTATTGCCAAAACGTTTTTGAAAGTGCCAAAAAATGACAATGTACTTATCTTTAAAGTACTATAAAGGGTGCTAAAACTGGAAGTTCAAAAGCTCAGTCAAATCCCATTTTCCTTTTGACCTTCATTTCAGGTGGAGACATTCACGATTAGCAGTGTTTCCCAAAGGCTGCAAGGATAATCCAGGATAGAGGTTCAGACTTAATCTCGCGCCCCGGGACTGAGGCTCAAGAAAAACATATTGCAGTTCATAACATGGTGGGCTACCCAAAATAGACTTTAGAGACACTTCTGGGTCACATAAGG